CCCTCTACCGAAAGTTCTGGAATTCTCCCTAGACACACCAGCAGACTATGCCTAGGAGGCAGGGTAGTCATTTCTAGGATCACTCCATAGAGCTAATATTCCAATATTTTGGAATTCAGTGAAAAGAGCAATGCCTATGTTAACTCTGATTGTAAAACCCCAACCACCCCAAATCTAGCCCTGCAATCCTCGAGTGGTCGAGAACCACCTGCTGCCAACACAGTGGGACCATGACCAAGATCTGGTCCTCCTAGAAGCCTTCGTGACCAGCCCCATCAAACTCCCTTTACCCCCCTTCAAACACACCCAATTGGGAGGCATTTGGTCAAAGTTGTTGTTTTTGTTTTGTTTTTTGTAGAGGGGGAGAGGCAGAGGGAGAGGAAGTAGAATCTAAGGCAGGCTCCACACCCAGCGTGAAGCCTGATGTGGGGCTCAATCTCACAACCCTGAGATCATGACCTAAGCCAAAATCAAAAGTCAGACACTCAACCGACTGAGCCACCCAGGCGCCCCTGGTCAAAGTATTTTTAATTGCTTTACACATGAACATACCATATGTCCACTTGATGGAAAGGTCCACCAGAAATAGTGTATATGCCTTTACAGCCCCAAAGCACCAAAGAGCTGTTGTCCACCACTGTGGATGACAGGGATGGGCCCTGTTTCCCAATACTGTCAGATGGCTGATGCTTAGCAGCATCCTCCAGGGGAGTTGAATAGAAAATAACGTGTCTCTGGAACCAGGCAAACTAGGCTTAAATCATCACTGTGCCCCCATGCTAGCCATGTGGACTTAGTCAACTTAGTTACTATCTCTGGTTGTCTAAGGAGAGTACCTAACAGTTTTATCATAAGGATTAAATAAGCTGATACACATAAAGCACTTAGGACAGTGATCAATGCATATCAGCTGTTGCTATTCTAGCACGTGGAGCTCATGATTCTATCAACCACTGGAATTAATTCAGGGAGGCTTCCCAACCCCCGGATGTTGTGTTCTCTAGGGGAGGCATTCTACTTAAGTCTCTAAGAATTAAAGGCTAGGAGACTTGGTTGGGTTGGCTATGAAGATTTCTGAAATGCAGAAACCGGAATCTGACCCATCTCTCCAGGCAGCTGGAAAACATCACAGCTTTCTGAGAAAAAGAAGGCCACCAGCAGATGTGAGTTTTAGGAAAACAGTGAAATACAGTCAGGAAATAAGAAAGGGCAGGTATAGCACTGAGGGTGGAGGGAGTAGAGTTAAGAAACTTTCTGCACAATTTTATCAAGAAGAACTGAGGACATGAGCAAACACGGATGTGTGATATCACAGCCAAGGAGAACAAAGGGAAGAGAACGGCCACATCTGACTTCGGAGAGGCCACGTCTGAGTGCCACTGGGTCATACGTGGGGGAGAGGTGGACCACGATCACATAGAGGAGAGCAGAGAACCAGGGGGCGCTGGCCGTGGTACAAGGACCCTCTCGTAGGATAGGAAGGAGAGAGGGAAGACTCATGGCAGAGAGGGATCCCACAAGCTGCGTGTTGAGAAAGTCTGGGCATGACTGTAGACCAAGTGAAAGAGCAATCTGATATGCAGACAGAAGATTCTAGACTGACATGATGGGAAAAGGATTGATCAAAACCCTAGAGGCAGGGGTGGGTGGGGGAGACGCTGCACAGATGGAAGGTTACTCTCAGGTGGTGGGATGGGAAGTGAGCAAGGAAAGGTGATGGCAGACAGATCCTAAAGGATCTTTTCAGCAAAGCAGACAGACTAGCATCATTTGCTAAAGGTGGTGGCAGGAGGGTTTGGTGATAAGCCTCAAGCTTGAGAGGTTGCCAGAAATCGCTGGTAAGGTAAATTCACTAAGGAATTTAAAGATTAAAAAAAAAAAAAAAAAAACTTTTTGAGTAAAATTGTACAGTTGCTATGGAAAAGAATATGGTAATTTCTCAAAAAATTAAACATGGTATTACCATATGACCCAGCATTTCCACATCTGATACACACCCAAAACAAGTGAAAGCAGAGACTTGAACAGTTTCACAGCATTATTCACAAGGGCCAAAAGGTGTAAACAACCCTAGTGTGTCCATCAGTGGATGCATAAATAAAATGTGATCTACACATCAATGGAATACAATTCTGCCTCAAAGAGGAATGAGATTCTGACATCTGCTGCACTCTGGGAGAGTCCTGAAGATATTATACCAGTGAAATAAGCCGGTCACAAAGAGACATATGCTGTATGATTCCACTTACACGAGGAACCTTGAATAGGAACATTTCCAGAGACAGAAAATAGGCTGGTGGGTGCCAGGGGCTGGGGGAGGGAAAGAACAGGCAGTCCCTCTTTAATGAGGACAGGGTTTCCGTTTGAGGAGATGAAGAAAGTTCTAGAGATGGATGGTGGTGATGGCTACACAACAGTGTGAATGCCATAGAACCAGACCCTTGAAAATGGTGAAGATGGTATATTTTATGTTAATCACCATAATAAAATTGTTTTAAGGATCTGGCAGGAGCCCTGAGGTTGGGGGCATTCACTGAGTGACAGTAAAAAGCAGCACAAAGGTAAGGCTGTCTCCAGAAACACATGGATGCCACAGAGAAGGGGCAGAAGTGCCCCAGGCAGAGAAGGGAGAGATAGGATGGGCCACACACCCCCGCAGTTTCTTCTCCCACCTCACGAAAACATACCCACACAGTCTCCCCTTTGTGTGTGTGCTCACTTACATTCAACGACCCAGGAAAAATGTGTGGTACTGAGTCAAATGGAAGGCAGCACTGTTCACAACGACCTTGACGCCATGTTCATCCTGCGGTTAATTATTGCCCCCAACTCCTCTTGCCTTTTTCTCCCTTGAGGTCTAAAATGCCGGGGCTGACCCTGCTGCCAGTTGGATGCAGGGAGCAGCTGCAGCTCTGGGAAGGGGACTGCAGGGTGCAGGCTCCGGGGACAGAGGAGCCACGCCCCACCCCCACCCACCAATCCCATCAGCTCACCCCACATAATCAAAACGGCCACCAAGGGCCACCCTTTGGGAAAAGACATGTAACCCCTAGGAAATGCCACAGTCTTTTTCCTATTTCATATTTTTCATCTCTTCTCTATAGAAGATGATTCACAACTGTTACTTCCATTTCCACAGAGCAAAACCTGAAGGGTGAGAACAACGTAAAAACCAGGGTCCTGGGGTGGGAGTCTTTGAACCTCACCTGTACAGAGAGCACCTATGGTGCAAAAACGAACTACAAAATTAGCAGCAAGGGAGGCAATGTCTGAAAAAAAGTCCGTCGCCGGACGGTCTTGCAGACATAAAGTTGTCATCCATGCATGAACATCCCTGAATTCACTCCCATCTTACAAGAAAACAACCACTGAAGGAAGGACTTGCAAGACTCCAGTCACTAAATAATTTGACACAGAGGGAGGTGGGCAGACAAAAGTCAAGCCCAATCAAATTTAATAATGTAAGAGTATATTTAGAAGTCTCAAATTACTTCTGGGCTCAAACTTCCTGTAATTTTCATCTATTCTTACACCCGCTGCGCCTGTTTTTCTAAAATGCCACAGGATGTAGTAGTAAATGTCCTGAACACGTTGCTAATTTTAACCCCAGAGCAATAAGGAAGCTTGAGGCGATATCAAGTCGTGAAAATAGTTAACCTAAAACTTCAATATACGTACCGCCTTGCTTTCTCTATAGATCATCAGTTTTTTACAAGAAACTCAAATAAAGATCAAGCAATTCCACGCAAGAATCCAGCAGCTCTGCAAGACAGCTGCACCACCTCTGAAAGCAAAGGGCCAGTGTGGATCCGTCCATGTTTAGTTATGACCGTGCCCCTGGTCACAGCAACCATGAGACACACCTGACACATGTATGTCTTTGTTCCAGACGGAATGGGAAGCTTGCAAGCTGGGAAATCAGTTTCCAAAACGTTTTCAAGACAACAGCCATAACAATGTTTTCCGAAATTACACATAAAAAGAGCATTAAGGGGGGCGCCTGGGTGGCTCAGTTGGTTAAGCGACTGCCTTCGGCTCAGGTCATGATCCTGGAGTCCTGGGATCGAGTCCCGCATCAGGCTCCCTGCTCAGCAAAGGAGCCTGCTTCTCCCTCTCACCCTCTCCCCTCTCATGTGCTCTCTCTCTCTCTCATTCTCGCTCTCTCAAATAAATAAATAAATCTTTAAAAAAATAAAAAATAAAAAAATAAAAGAGCATTAAGGGAAGAGAGTGACAGCAAAGGCAGCTATGATGAACACTTGCGTGAAAGCCGCAAGTTAATCACTCAGAAGATTCTTGTTCTCTGAAGGAATCAGCTTGGCAGCCACCTGCAAACCACACCTCTATCTGCAGTCAGTCAGCCCCATGGAAACTGCCAGAATGGGGAAGCTGGAGAGCGTGCAGGCCCTGGGCTGCTCCAGGGGCCCACCCCATGCTCCGCCTCCCAGCACCTCCACGCCGCAGCCCCGAGGACCTCACATGGGGTGAAGGCATCTTTCTTCCAAAGGGCAACAGGGCGAGAACAAGTAATCCAAGGTGGTGAAAACAGTGGGACGGTGGGAACGCTGGATCCCTCGCTCTTCTGGGCAAGCAAAAGACTCGCTGCAGGACCAAGACACATCACCATGCCCACAACGTAGCTTGAGGTCCGACCGATGCCTGGGACACCTACAGCCTCAGCACCCCCACCTCTGCCCAGCCCCCGAGACACCCCGACAAGTGACGTGCAAACACTACTCTCATCAACAACCTCACATTTACGTAAATTCAGAACATCTCCTTGCGGAGGAGCAAAGAGAGCAACGACCACTGAAGAGCACCGCCAGGGGAAGGAAAACCAAATTTCAATACACAGGAGGCAGGACCGTGCTCGCTACAAAAGCCATCCCTGGGCTATCACGCAAGTTCAGGCTTTGCAGGAGGCAAAATCCCACCTGGGGAGCCCCGCAGCTCACAGTGGGCCTTGGGGATGGCCGGTCCTGCTGCACCCAAGGGCCTACCTTCACCCTGACGGTCTGGTCCGACACGCTGCTCATCATGTCGCTGATGGACCGGAACAGCTGCAGCAGGGACTCCATGAAGTCCGCCTCTCCTTTGTCTTCATAGAGTCTACAAAGGAGCACACGACACTCGATGGGGCCTGGCAGACGGGGCCTTGCCTCTATTTGCTCCTGAATCAAGAGCCATGGAAGGTGCTGCCGCAGTGGCAACTTAGAACATGAGGGAAAATCCTCCACGTCCAGGGAACACGGGAGGCAGCTCAGAAATGGGGTTCATCTGGACCACGCAGCTAGGGAGCTATGTCCTCCCGCTGAAGAAGCTGGTTTTGAACCACACCATTTATTGCTTTTTTTCATTGTAACATAATAACGTTTTATAAATCTACAAAACGGAAATGTATAGAAAGGGACAGAAGGAGAGAAAGAGGAAAGAAGGACCAGAGGAAGGAGGAACAGGAAAATTCAGCTTTAATGCTACCCCACGGAGATTACACCATTAATATTTTGGTGTACTTCCTGCCAGTATTTTTTTAAACCCACAATGTCACATAATTAACATAAGTTTAATTTCCTGAATTTAACACGATCTTGTAACCATATAAAAATGATATTATAACAGTAAATTCAAAATTATTTTATTTCAGAGTAATGACACCATACAGATTCATTCATCACAGAATTGCTGGTAACGGGAAAACTGTCAAGTGGTGGAGCATAATCAATAAATGGATAATAAGGAAGGTGCACCTTGGTTACATGTATACAAATATATGTTGCTAATTATAAGGAAGTTTCACATATAAATTATTTATTAGCAGTTACTTCAAGTTGCCGTGTTACTAAAAAGCAATGCATTTGCATTTTAAAATGCTGCAACACAGATGTTTTCTTAATATAGACTAGTTTTCTGCCTAAAGTATACCATACCTGAAAACTTGTGTACAATGGAAAATTTTGTAAACTAAGTGATAATTAATTACCGTAGAGGTAATCTTATATTTAAATGAGTTCTACTGTAAAGCAACAAATTCTGTCTAAAACGGGAAATTGCCACCTAGTGTATCTGTTTTATAAAGGATTTTATTCAATAGGAATTTGTTTAAAAGGTGCATAGCAAACAATCAAAAGTATCGAGTCATGAACTCCTGTTTGCAGGGAACAGGAAGCAACAGAGCAACATTTTACAGACCGGTCCAAACACCTGGGGAGGCTGCAAACATACAGTCATTCTCATCCTCAGGACATCTGCCAATTCCTAGAGCTGTGTGGGGTAGGAGACTACTCGGTAGAGTGGGGTTTCTATCAGTCTCCAAAGATAATGAATGATAATGAATTAGAAAATGCCAAGGAGATGGGTCCCAGGTGACACAGCAGACTCTCCACTGAAAACCCTGGAGAACCAGGAACAAACCAAATGTAGATGGAGGCTTATGAAGGCTACACGCAGCCTTGATAGAGAGAAATGTCAGTCCCACTGTCTCTGCCTAGAAGGGGAAAGGATGAATCATCTCTGAAAGAAGAGCATATCATCTGGAGCTACATTTAAATAAAAACTAACTAAACAAAAAAAAAATTAATTAAACATAGAAAAGAACAGACCCCACATGGCCAAACCAAAAAAGAAAGACAACAGAAACAGAAGGACAGGTGGTCAAAATATTGCAGCTAGCTAGCAAGAATATCAGCATAACTATATTTTAAAACAGGGAAAAAATGGAGAAAATAAAAAGATGGAAATATGAAAATCAGATGGAGAAAACAGAAGATGGGAAAGTATAGTAGAGAAATAAATCTACAGAAAAGAATCAAATGAAAATTTTAAAACTAAAAACTATAATATCTAAAATTAAGAATTCATTATATGGGTTAAATTGAGATTAGACTGAGTAAAAGGCAGAATTAGTGAAGTGGAAGATGATCAACATGAAAATAAGTAAGCACGGAGAAAGAAAATAGAGAAGAGCGTGTTAGAGATATGTAGGGTATAATAAAGAGGTCTAATACACATGTAATTGAAGTTCCAGAAGAAAATGAGAGACACAATGTGACAAATATGATACTAAAATAGATAATGACCATGAATTTGCCAAAACAAATAGAGAAATCAATTCAAAATTCAAGAAGCCCTGAAAATCCAATGTAGGATAAATAAAAAGCAAAAGCATTCTTACACAATCCACAGTAAAACTGCTCATAACCACAGAAACAACAAATTGTAAAAGCAGCTAGAGGAAAAACAAACAAACAAACAAACAAACAAAAAAACACACTGTCACCTTCAAAGATGTAACAAGAAGTCTAAAACCTGACTTCTCACCAGAAATGATGGAAACCAAAAGAGAATAGAATAGTATCTGAAAGGACTAACTGCCAAATTAGAATTCTACATTAACTAAAAATATCCTTTAAAAACAAGGAGGAAATAAATGATTTTCATACAAACAAAACCTGCAGCAGACTTTTATTAAAAGAAATTCTACAAGGAGTTTTCTGGGGGCAGAAGGAAACTTATCCCATAAAGAAACATGAAATTGAAAGAAAAATGAAAAAAATAAATATAAAACTTATTGAATTAATACTAACTGTACAAAATAATAACAGTCATGTCTTACAAGGCATAAAATATAGGTATCTTGAAATGCATACAATAATAATAAAAAAAGGAGATTTCATGTGGAGATAGAGTGTTCTATTTCAGCCACATCTAGTGTTATCAGGGAAGTGACAATAGTAATCATTTTAATTATTCTGTAAGAATTCACACATGTTGTCACATGTAGGATAATCAATAAAAAAACAGTAGAAGAACATGTCACTAACATGTTAAAAGAGGAGAACATGAGACAATAAAAAGAAAATCAGGCTTGGTACAAAAGAACACAAAGAAGGAGTAAAAGGAGAACATAATAGAGATGGGTAAAAGAAAATGAACAGAAAGACAGTAGGTATAAACCCATCCCATATAAACAAACTATATCCTCAGTTAAAAGGATTTTCAGACTGGATGAAATAAAGATACAACTATGTGTTATGTGCAAGAGACAGACCTTAAATATAAGGACACAGAAAGGTTAAAAGCAAAAAAGAGAAGAGATATTCCATGCAGATATTAACCAAAAGATAAAGGGAAAGTTTTCATATCAGTAAAAGGGTACAGGCATCCCTCTGAGATGCCGTAGGTTCAGTTTCCAGACCACCACAATAAAATGAGTATGGCAATAAAGAGAGTCAAATTAATTTTCTGGTTTCCCAGTACATATGAAAAATATGTTTACACTATAGTGCAGTCTATTAAATGTGTGACAGCATTATATCCTAAAAAAAAAAAAAAAGTACATACCTTAATTTAAAAAAACTTTATTGCTAGAAAATGTTAACAGTCATCTGGGGTTTCAGCCATTGATAATCACTGATCACAGAGCACCATAACAAATACAATAATAAGGGAAAAGCTTGAAATATTGCAAGAATTACCTAAACACGACACAGAGATATGAAGTGAGCAAATGTTTTTGGAAAAATGGCACCAATAGGCTTGCTTGACACAGGGTTGCCACAAAATGATTTATAAAAACCACAGTATATGCAAAGTGGCAATAAAGCAAACAGCAATAAAGTGAGTTATATCTGTAAATCCATGAGAGAGAGATCACAATTCTAAATCTGTATGCCCCCAATAACAGTTTGAAAATCTGTAAGGTATAAGTAATGAGTCTATGATATCTAAATTTCTACCAAGAATCCCTCAAAGATGTAAATTTACTTATTAGTTTCTCTGCTGCCAATCAACATATTTAAAATACAGAAATGGTTAATAATTTACAGCATTCCTACTGATGAATCTTTCTGTAATGCAAGGGAGGCCTCTAGAGTCTCACCTCTTGCTTTTATCAAATAAACCAAGAACAGTCACCTGTTTGACCCACCTTCAGGTGGAGGAAGGGGTGAGGAAAGAACTCAGAGGGCTATCAGTAGATAAATAGATGAGTAAGACCTAGTTATCATTCCTTGCTCTATTTACACATTATAAGTATTCATTATCAGGGAATGGCAAGATTGTTGTCTATTAGCTACATTCTATTTTTGTGACCCAGGAAATGATAGCAGAATGACAGATCTGCAACAATTTATTCATGATCAATAACTAATTATGCACAAAGCTAATGCCAGATGACAGGCAAAGCTTCCACAAAGCACCAGGAAGACAGAAGAAGAATACAGCAATAACTAGCTTTAGTAATTTGCTTCAGAAGGTCTGAAGCAGGATGTCTGTTTTCCGGCTTTCCACTTAATGTGATCCACCCACACAGAAAACGCAGACAAACAAAAACCAGCGGAGAAGTGCCCCTGGCTGTCAGGAATCTTTCTGTGGGTTCTGAACCAAATGTCTTTGGGCCAGAGTTTTAAAATTGCTGTTCTCACTTCAAAACAAGATGAGCCTTCTAAACAAAACAGAAAGTATGGATTTGCATAGTGAGAAAGATAGTGGGATAAGCTTCCATATCTTCATCTCCAACGATTCACCTCTTTGTTCTTTGGAAGAAAAATGGCTGTCAATTATCCAGAAATTTTACAAAGCTACTACATTACCTGAACACAGAGCAGACCATTTTGAAAGAAGAAGAAAAATAAAGAACCTCTAATGTTTATTCCAACTGCAAAGAGAAAAACACTCTTGTCAACTCCAGCTGTGAGAACAATTTCTTTCTCCCAAGCTAATAAATGGGGTACAGGTAAGAAAATGGGAACCCTTGTTTGCTTTCTCCCCCAGCTCTGCAAACACCACACAAGAGGGCTGCTCGGAACTTGTTATGGAGCAAACACTCGCGACACCTGTGTAGGACACAGGACTGCTTTCTCTTTCAGCAGCCTATACGAAACAGGAATATTATTTCATCTAAAATTCATGCCTTTGATAATCACAGATGAAAAGCTACTGAAATATAGCTGGTGGGACCATGGGGAGTAGTGGTGAGCACAACGAGACCCTGCTCAAGTCTTTGGCCCTGTGGTCCATGATTTGAAGGCCATGATTTTTTCCTTCCCACAGAATCTGAGTTCTCAGGAGTTTTAGAGTACAGATTTAAATTTAAGAAATATTATCTTATCTATGTAATGTGGATACAACTGTGTTCTAAGTTTTGAAGGGAACATATGTTCCTCTCTGCTCTCAGGGATCATAGAAGGCAGCCAAGACACACATTTAGGAAGCAATTAGGAAAAAAATAAGGTCAATAAACTACTAAAGTCTGGGATACAGTCAGGGCTCCAAAGCTCATCAAGTACTTAAGGGAGGGAGAAGCAAGCAACAAGGGAGGAAGGGCGGGAAGGAAGGACCTCGTCATCAAAATTTCCATTTTTGCTACAGTATTCGGATGCGGTCAGGAATGCCCAGACAAGGGCCTTGGAAGCCTCAGGAAGCCTCACTGCCTTTTGGCAACTGCCGTTACTTTCCTTATGACCTCTTTGCACTTTTGTCCTGGACTGTGTCAGCTCGTGACAAACTTGACAAACAAGTTATCCCAGCAAAGAGACCCCTTTTGTGATCAGGCCATGGCTCACACTGGGGCCACTCCAGAACAAAGGCAAGCAGCAGGATCAAGGTCTGTGCCAACACCATGATACCCAGCGCCAAAACAAAGGCATTCTTAAGAATGCCAAACATAAAACATTTCCCTGGGTCACAGGCAAGGATCTGTGAGCTTCTGCATAGCACAGAAGACCAAACCGCATCTTTGGGTCACATAGGGCTCCAGTGATTTCAGAGACTGACCCCCAAACTAACAGCAAGAAAAGCTCTCAGGGGCCTAATTAAGTAGGACTTCGGAACCCAGAGTAATAAGCTAAGGGTGTTCTGAGCTGTCAGGCAAAAGAAATTCAGGTTAAAAGCACAAGGAAGAGAATGCTAATCACCTGTCCGATATATATTTCTCCCTGACTCCTTTACTATAAGAACTCTGATTTTGTTGAAAGCATCAATAAGCCCATCTAAAAGTCCTTGCCAGCCTCCCTTGCCATCTCGGGTGGTCACGTGACATAGTTCTGAGATGACACTTTATAGGGATTGGGAAAGTTCTTCAAAAAGAGAGTAACTGGAAGGCTATTTATGCCACACTTTCCCCGCTCTGCTGCTTGGAATGCAGTCCTGATGCCAGGAAGGGGCCATAAGACACAGAGATGGACCATAAGGATGATGGAGCAGAAGGGCAATAGGAGCCAAGGACATAAGGAAACCAGGGACCAACTGCATAAACTCCGGAACCTTCCTCTGGGCACCATGTTACATACACGGGTGGGGAGAAGTGAAGCTCATCTCATTAAGCCACGTTAAGCCAGGCTTTTCGATAACAGCAGTCAATCATGTTCCTAACCTCTATGAGACTGATCAAATTCAACATTTATGGGGCGCCTGGGTGGCTCAGTCGTTAAGCGTCTGCCTTTGGCTCAGGTCATGATCCCAGGGTCCTGGGATCGAGCCCCGCATCGGGCTCCCTGCTCCGCGGGAAACCTGCTTCTCCCTCTCCCACTCCCCTTGCTTGTGTTCCCTCCCTCGCTGTGTCTCTCTCTGTCCAATAAATAAATATCTTTAAAAAAAAAATTCTACATTTATGGACCATGGTTCTAAGACATCATGTCAATTGTATTTAGAGATTGAAAGAGATTAAGAGAAAGAAATAACTTCGCCACTGGTCCACTTAGACGACCCCAATCTTTTCTAGCTGCATTATTTTGTAAAGGATTATAGCATTTACTACAATAACAAAAACACAGATTATCAATGCATGTTTCTTTTGATTCCTAATCTCTGAATGAGAAGGACAGTCAGCAGTGTGCTCAAGAAGGAAATGAGCATCATCCAACTCCTGACTCAGTGTCATATCGATTATAAATTGTACAAGATTAAGATTCTTTCAAACAAAACATGACAAAATCTATACATAGCACCCGACTATGCTGTTCTTTCAAGTTCATGCTCTCACTTTAGTGTAGATTTTGGTTTAGAGTAATTAATGATTTAAAATTCGTGGGGAAATACACAAAAGCTAGATAACTAGGGTGCCAAGAAGTTCATTTTAATAGAATTAATTTTATTGGAAAAAAAATAAAATCCAGGAAAACAAAACCTACTTTACTGGTCATCTTTCACAACTGACAGTGGGAAAATCATCAATGGCTTTGACCCTTAAGAAAAGAGAAAGCTCAGGGGCACCTGGGTGGCTCCGTCAGTTAAGTGTCTTCGGCTCAGGTCATGATTCCAGGGTCCTGGGATGAAGCCTTGGCTCAGGCTCCCTGCTCAGCGGGGAGTCTGCTTCTCCCTCTCCCTCTGCTCCTCCCCCTGCTCCTGCTTGTTCTCTCCCTCTCTCTCTCTCTCTCTCTGTGAAATAAATAAAATCTTAAAGAAAAAAAAAGAGAAAGCTCAGTCTACAGCAAGCTTCATGCCTACCCATAATTAGCAAAATAAAAGAGGATGCCTTCAATGCCTTACTCAAGGATGACAGCATGATGACCTCAAGCTGTTGTGTCTTCATACAATCAAATGGCAGCGTAGACTTGTCTACATCATGTTGACTCCACAGAGAACACAAGTGCAATAATCCTTAACCAGTAACATAGGGACTGTAGGCATTCCTCACCACTGTAACCAAGGTGGGTCCTACCCTGTGTAGGACGTTTCCAGATCTACACAGTCAATAACTTGCTCCTCTGGCTTTATTTGCACCATGGTGTGCACAAGATTGGATTCTGAATACCCTCCCTTTCTCCTGGGCCCTTCTGGAGAAAGCCACCTCAGGCCAACAAAGATAAAATGAAGAGGCACAGCAAGGGCCGGATTTGGGTCTACCCTGGTTCAATGACCAGTTTCCATGCATAAGTTTCAAGAGCACTATGCTGTTAAAAGGTGGTGTGTGTCCTCTAAGTGAAAGGGAGGTCAGTTTGTGAAACTCCATCTCTGTGTGTAGAACTCACGACAAGAACATCAACCTTGAATGATCAACATGAACCAACATCACTCACAGTAGGTCACCCAAAGCAGCTGTCCTTCTGAAGAAACAAGCAGTGAGAGTCCACATCAACACTCAACACTCAACCTGTCCTGCTTCCACACCTCTTCGTGCACAGTTACCTGCTATGGGCCACCTGAAAGCCCTGACTTTAGCCCAGCTCTTAATCACAGGTACCTGGACGAACATTAATGTTCTCTAGAAAATAAGAAAGTCATCAGCACCCCAATCCACTTTAAAGTTCAAAACCAATGCACAAACTCCTCCAGAGAGGATGAGAAAGAATTCACCGAGCTAAACAACTAAGTGTCCATTCACCCGGCAATTCCGCACGTGAGAGTATCTCTCTAGAAACAAAATATTATTCTGGTTGAAGGAAAGAAAGAGAGAAAGCCAAACAGTCTTCCCAAAGGAGGCAATTTAACTTGGTTTTGGCCTTTTGTTGTTGTTGCTTAACTGTTTGCTCTTGGGAGGCTTTTTCTGTAGGAAGATATACTGAAATGAACTTCAGAACCTTTGTATACACCCTGCACTACCTCTGATGAACATGGAATACTTTCAACAGTCAGTGTTTTACTCACATGCACAAATTCAAGACTTGAGAACAGGATTTGCTGCTCAAACTTGAGCTTGCATTTCATAGACCGGGAAGCAGTTACCCTAAGAGAGGGCAACCCCAACATGGGATGGCTATCTATTACTGTCCTGTCATACCAGAAAGCAAGGCAAGGAAAGAAAAGAAGAGAGGAAGGGAAGGAGGGAGGGAAATAGACAAGGAAAAGGAAGGAAGTAAAAGATCTCCTAAAATCCCCTAGAAGGGCCGGCACGGGTAACACTTACTGATTGAAAAGGATCCTGGAGCGCACAATGAACTTGAAGATGTACTCCAAAGCCTTCATGGCTTTGTACAGCTGATCGTTTATTCCTGGCTTCTCGGCATTGTCCACGTAGTTCCTTAAAACTTTTGTCAGCTTCCTATTCACAATGGAATCACAAATTAATTGATAAGTTCAAAGGGTTACAGTATCTCAATTCTTAACTGGGACAGAAATACACAAGTGCCTTATTGTTACTTCGGCTCACACTTGTCAGTAGATGCGTATTTATAAAATATATTCGAAAGGGATGAAAAATGAGCCATAAATAACACTCAGGAGTGAGAGCCGAACATTGAAAAAGTGCTTTTCTAAGTTTTACATATTTTTCTAAGCATTTAAGTGTATTATATAATTTAACCTTCATAATAACACAGTGAGCCAGGTATTATTTTGGGGTATAATAATAATAATAATGGGGTATAAGAACAGGTATATTATCCCTAATTTACAAGTGAAGAAGCCAAGGGTTAGAGAGATAAAGTAGTTTTCCCAACATTAAATAAAATTGAAGGCATTTTCTTCATAGCCATATCCATGTTTGCAATGCTTTTCTTTTTTCGACATCGAGCTGCCTCTATCATTTTCCCATGACAGAGGCAGCAGTGACAATAATCAATTTCTAATTCTGCCCAAACTTCTACATTTTTCTACTGTTACTGGCCCATAAACTAATAATCATTGTTCACTGTTCATAAGGCTGACCCACAAGCAGTGCTTCCAAATCATAAGAGAACAGCTAAATTAACTTCAATATAGCTTCTGGCTTTAGTGTACTGGGCTGCACTATAATTCTCCAAAAACTAGCCACATATGTGCTGCCTGTGTGGCAACAACCAACAAGATTACCCCATTAACCAAACTTCTCTGATCCCCAATGGTTCATGTCATTCAACAAGAACTCTCCATTATACTCATAAAAATAACCTGTTAGGGCACTGCCAACATTTCCAGCTAAGTTGTGAGCCCGTCCACAACAGACTGTTAGTGGAGACTATTATAAGACACCCATAAGAGCACCTGTAACGGGCATTAAGGATGACCTCAGAACAGTCCTGAGCGCAATCCCTGTCCTGACAAATCACAACAAAGAGCTTCCTGGGTGACCAAGTGGATGCGAAGTCATTTCTAACACTCATCAGGTTGCAGAACCCTAGCAAAGAAGCCTGACACTCTCAGAGGAGCATCCCTGCAAGGTGCTGGGAAGACGGGGGCCAGAGAGGTCCTCTCCCCACAGGCTCCCTGGGCTCCCACACGTCTTCTGGTAGTTCTCAAGGCACGGGAGAACATCTAAAGTCCTGCCATACAACCTGTTTCACCTGATTTAACTTATTTTCTCAAGCTTACTGACCAGATACCTTTTCTTATTAAACCCATGGATATCCCAAGAAATATATATTCCATTGAGCACAGCTTAGGAATTTTCCCAACAGATTCATCAAAAATAAATAGACGGGGGCGCCTGGGTGGCTCAGTTGGTTAAGCGACTGCCTTCGGCTCAGGTCATGATCCTGGAGTCCCAGGATCGAGTCCCGCATCGGGCTCCCTGCTCAGCAGGGAGTCTGCTTCTCCCTCTGACCCTCTTCCCTCTCGTGCTCTCTATCTCTCATTCTCTCTCTCAAATAAATAAATAAAATCTTTTAAAAAATAAATAGACGGATGATAGACAGATAGATACAAAGAAAGGAATGATCTGTGAAGAGAATGACCCAGAACCAGAAAATAAATGAGGAAGTCCAAAGACCCATATCCACATGAGCCAGACCACCTGTACTGCAGAAAGATCAAGCCTCTGGCACCAGCTGTGAGACCGAATGGAGCATCAGTTAAGTAGAGGCACGACCTAAGCCAGCTCCAGGAAAAGCAGCTCTGTGGACAGAAAGGAGCCTGCCCCTGGTTTTCTGGAAGAACAGTCCCCAGAGTTGATGCCTCCCTCCCTGCTCGCCTGGACCAGCACCCGTTGCTCTCCTGGGGCTCTGGCGTCCGGACCACCTGTGCAGGGGTGCCGGAACACTGGCAGGTAACAGCTACAGCCCAGGCACCTTTCAGTTCTTCTCTTAAGAATTCTTTGTGGAGAAAGGCTGAAGATCCCAACATTATCCAAGGAAAGAGGTAAAGAAACTATCTGGGAGAGAGTCTCACCTACATCTGTGCCTGCCGAGGCTTCCAAGGGGCAGCGGCCGGGAGACCCTCCGTGGTGATCCTTACTACCGGAGCATCCTCCGGCCCAGAGACCGCCGTGAGCACTCCATTAACACAGAGACAACCTTCCACGATTTGGTTAGAGCTGTGTGAATCAGAATTATCTCTTTTGGTATTTCAAGGCTTAAATACTCAGATTCACACTGCCAAGGAAGCACCTAGGGTTGCTACTTTATCAAAACATGATAAGGATAGTTATTTTCCAAAACGAATCTCCTTTCCTGCAGATTACAGGGGCTGAACGGGAGGATATGGATTCTCAGCTCAGTCCTACCCTATCTGAAAGATGAAGCAGTACTCTTTGTTTCTTCCATTCAGTAACTTGCCAGAGACTCCCCAACTTTCACTTCACCACCTATGACAAAGGCACAGAGAGAGTGGTGCCAACAGAAGGTCTGGAAGACAGCATGGCAAGCTTACTCACTGTGCGGATTCTCTGAAATTCCAATACAAAAGCTCATCTGAGAAGAGCAGTGTGGCCACATTTCAATAAAGACACAGACATGTGGCATGTGACTCGGAGGGAGATCGTGCCACATGAGGAGCCGCTTACAGGCCACTCCGGGGAACCCTGCTTGGTCGCCATAGCAAGATGGCGCCCATGATCTGAAAGGAACTGTCCAAAGTGCAGTCACACTGGACGTTTCCATGAAGAGAACAAATCGCTTTAAACACTTATTAGCAAGCCCAAAGGACTTGTCGCAGCTTGTTCTGTGTGCGTGAGGACGCGGCAGCTCTCTGCCCACTCAGCCACGCGAGGCAGACGTGAAAGAGCCTGGGACAGGATGACCAACGTCACACAGATAGCTAGCATCAGACCTCTGACCTTGAGTTCATGGCCGCATACAGGCAAGGAAACAGATTCTGACTTAAATATGGTCAAGGCACATTTGAGCTTTGACTCAAGCTACTAGGACTAAAGAGAACCATTTCTAGTGATTCTAAGGGGAGGGATGTTCTTAAAGAAATTATTTACATCTTCTTTCATTGCAACTCACACACGATTCAAAGTTGGAATAAATGCTGATAAATCCCACTGTGACAGAGGCAGAGTAACTCATCCTAATCATTCTAATAATAATGAAACCTAACAACTGCTTCGTGCTTTCTAAGTGCCAAGGATTACTTCAAACACTTAACATGTAATAACTCATTAAAATTTTCAAGAAACCCTAAGATCATGCCTGTTTACTCAGGAGAAGGCTAAGGCCCAGAGAGATTAAGAGACTTGAACTTGTAAGCGACAGAGCTGTAGGTGAAGCCGGGTTCCTGGATGGTGCTGGTCAACACCAGGAGAGCCGCCTCGCAGGTCTGGAAATCCCACATTTGCTCCGGCTGCTGACAGATGCCCAGGGGACAGGTATGGGGTTGTGGGGGCAGGTCAAGAGCAACTGGGTGGGCAGTTAGAATCCAAGTTAGTTATAGCTGAAGCGTCTAGAACAAAAAGGAAGGCCCTCTTTAAAGAGCAAAAAGAGACACTAAGAGGTACAAAACTGAATTTTATTCATACTAAACAACCAATAATCTCAAACCAGGAACACATCCATTTATTCATTTGCCAAAAGCTGGTTGGGAAGCTGCAGGGAGGCATATATCAGTTTCATTGAGCATAAACTAAAAATTTCAAAGACAAATGGAAGGTATGGAGGAGAACAAGAATTTATCCCAGAATGTTATGATAATTTATTACATATCTTCTTTCAACAAGATTTCTAGGTCTGTTAAGAGGGAAACAATAATAAAAATTATCCCAATAAATTCAGAGTTGGGGGCAGGGGGCACATACAGAACCACAGACAAAAGTATATGAAAAAGGCACTTAGTAACAAACCTACAAAATGAAGTATTGGTTTTAAAACAACAAAAATGAACTTACGTGTAGGCTAAAGTTGCACTAAAGTGCTTCTTAATGTAGGTTTCCAGAACAGGATTAAAATGCTGAAATTTTCTGTCAGCAATTAGTCCAATGATAAATACCTGTTCAATTAATCAATATTTTCATTAGTAAAATAACGCAAGCCTCATCTGAATCATCTGCACTGTGGTGGGAGTCCGGGGACTAGAACATTTTCTGATGTTCCCTCTTCTTACCCCAGAAATGACATTGGCCTAACTACAGTGTCCCAGTGAACACCACCCTCTGCCTCGCAACCCATCCACTTTGATTGGATTTACAACGGAAAACACTTCCAAGGTGACCGGGAGGGACCCCCTCCCCCAGCTTCAAAGGCTGCAGCATGAAAAGCTCCTCAACATCTGAGCGGATGAAAAGTAGAGGCCTCTTACCAGAGCATCAAACACCAACGTATCAAACGTCTCGCTCTCGGAATTCTCCATCATGATGTTGAAGAGGGCATCCAAGGTGTCCTGGAGGAACTAGAGTCACACAAAATGTCAGCAGACACAGTAAACTCACCTCACTTTCCCCCAACCTAGAATAACTACCATCTTCGGCCATATCTCAAACACCCACCTTTCCCGAATGTCACCAATGAAGCCATACACTACAGGGACTTTTCCCAGCCATTAGATGCACAAGACAAAAACTGAGATGAGTGAACTCAGAACAAAGACATGGCACCCCGAGCCAAGCAGAGGAGGACTGGTAACAGGGAAATGCTCTATGGTCCCCACTCCGTAAATTTCTCCAACCCTTTTCCTGGTCTTTACCAGTCTGGTGACAAAGAGCCCAACAGCAGCTCTCGGAAGCCTGGCTCTGCCTAATCCCAAACTCTGAGTGTAGGACCTGAGCAAGGGAGTGGGCAGAGGCCGCACAGGGATGAACGTCCAGCTGAGTATAATGAAGGACCTATCACAAACCCAGACGCCCACAGACGGAAGAGCTGTGTGACTGAAACTGGGGCACCCAGCAGAACACCAGGAAGCACGTTTTATTCAAGAGGAATTTAGAAATTTCTTTTATAGCCTACTGTAATTCACCAAACAAATATGAGAGCACAGAATGACAAACCATCATGAATTAATTAAGGAAAGAAAAAATTAGGAGACTCCAAAGTTATGTCACACTAGAAACTGGTTCCCGATCCTATCTCCATCTTCCCCCAGAAGAAGCGTAAGACAGACCAAGAAGACTATCTTGGAGGTAATGAGTTCCCGGTCTGTGGAGGAGTTCAAGAAAAGGCAGAAGGCAACATGAAAGAATACTGGACATAAAAGAGAATAAAGTATAGATATGTCATCATGAGTCATTAGGGACATGCAAATTGAAACCACAGTGAGATATGACCTACCGCCACTGAGAAAGCTATCATCAAGACACAAGCAGTACGGCAAGTGTGGGCAAGGACTCAGGGGAACTGAGCCCTTCCACATCACTGGTGGAAAAGTAAAATAGTACGATGGTTTTGAAAACAGTGTGACAAATCCTCAAAGGGTTAAACGTTATGTTTGCCGCATGGGCAACCATTTGTAGGTATGTATCCAAATGAACGGAAAACATATGTCCACACCAAAATTGTACACAATTATTCACGACAGCTTTGCTCATAAATGTGAAAATGTGGCAAACATCCAAATGTCCACCAGCTGACAAATGGGAGAACAAATCCATACATTGGAATATTATTTAGCCATAGAAAGGAATGAAGTTCTGATACATGGCACACTATGCTCTGGAAGCATTATAATACTAACTGAAAGAAGCCAGGCACGAAAGGCTACAGATGGTCTAATTCAATTTATATAAAATAATCCAGAATAGTCAAATCCATAGAGACAGAAAGTAGATTATGGTTGCAGGGACAGTAGGGAGTAACTGCGGACAGGTTACAGGGTTATTTTTTCTCATGATGGAAATGTTCTGGAATCAGATAGTGGAGATGGTTGCGCCAACTCTTGAATTTACTACCACCATGGAACAGTGCAAATGAAGAGTGCATTTTATGGTGTGTGAATTGTATCTCAATGAAGCCGTTATGCAAAACCAAAGAAAAGGTGAGAAGGTCCCATGGCCAGGGTGTCAAAGAGACAGCTGAAAGGGAAGGCCGGTCCAGATTCTTCCTGGAAGGTTTAGCCCATGCACACAACACACAGAACCAGAGGGGTCCTCAGGTCCCCACAGATGGTCTCAAGTGGTTAGCACACTCAGCCTGAGGAACCAAACCACTGAGACTTGCTCCCAAAACCAGCGCTCACCCCACTGCTACCTCTTGTGCTGTGAAAGTTTTCAATAGCCCCAAACCCAAAGCCACAGATCTCCCTCAGGAAGGGGAACGTACTCCCAAACCTAGTTAGAGATCTGAGATACACCGGTGCATAAAACCCTCATTATGTTCTTTTTTTTTCCTCCAGTTTTATTTACTTAAGCAATCTCTACACCCAACGTAGGGCTTGAACTCATGACCCCAAGATTGAGAGTCGCATGCTCTTCTGACAAAGCCAGCCAGGAGCCCCAAACCGTCATTCTACTCTGCCATCCACCCACCACCTATTTTATGCCAGAGAAGTGTCACATACAAGCAGCAGGGGAATGAAACCCCCCCGCCCCCATTCTGGTCTGGACAACAAGGGCTTCCTCAAGCCCACAATTACTGGGGGCCCACACCATCTTGTTACTTCTGTATTATTTCCCATCATTTTCTGTTTGTAAACATCTTTGCAGAGATCAAACCCTTACGCCATCTGCTAACTGCCCGATGTTACTGCCAATTGGCTCACCAGGTGCCAAGCCCTGGCTCGTCTCGGTTCACACACAGAGTCCCTACAGTAGGACTACCCATCCCAGCCAGACAGATGACATAATCAGTAGCCCAGAAACATGGCAGAGAGACTGGGAGCCGCCCGCATCTGGCTGTCAAGCCTCGGAGGCACAGGGATACCAGCATCCTCCTCAAGGAGGTCCCACACACAGAGCCACAAACATGCTCCTTTTGACACCTGCCCTCTCTCGAAGACTATCCACTGGAAGCCCAAAATAATCACCATTTTCATTTTCCACCAAAATGGGCAACTGTATCTTTTACTAAATAAGTCAATACTGTTCTTCATCCATCACATCATGTCATCTCTCTCCTACCAGTTATAAATATACCTAAGGGTGGGAGGGGGCCTTGAATGAATGGAATAAGCTCAGTCTATGGTGTTCTCAGAGTAAAAGGAGCCCCATGCAGGCTGGGAATCCCTCCAACCCTGGCTCCCATTAACAGCCGTGTGGCCTCAGACAAGTCCATTCACCTCTCTAGGCCTACAGGGTACACAGGATGAGCCAGCGATGGACGGACAGGTCATTCAGACCTGCTGGTACCAGCACACACGGGAAGGAGGGGGTGGTGAAAACCATTTCCAGGGCTGAACAACAAGGTTTGGTAATAGATTAGGTAAGGGGAGTGAAGGACAGCAATAAGACAAGATGGTTCCACATCTTCTCCTTAACGTGTAACAATAGGCCAACAGAAATACAGCTAATTCCTGATGTGATACAGGGATTTAAAAATGAAAAAGGACAAAAATCTCATTAACTGTGTATCTTCTAAAGTTACGTTAACTTATTCACCCAGTTTCCATCTGAACCAGGGAAGTTACAGAACCCAGGGAAGTTTAAAATGCAATTAACATTGTCCAAGCCAGAGGTAGCAGACAAGAACCTAAAAAGATGATTAAAATTAGAAGATTAGCAAGGATATGTTTGAATGGTTATACAATGAATTTCAGAAAGTGGTGCAACCAAATTAATTTATACTGAAGTTAACCACATTGCTGTTTAATTAAGGCCATTTTAAGTAATTAATTTTTACAGAGATAAGGCAGTCTCCTTCTGCAATCACCTCTCGTGGAAGGCGAAGGACTGAGCCAGGGGCAGACAGACCTGGACACCGCGCTCACAGAACGCCACCAGTGTGGACAGGCTTATTGTCTACAGGCCAAATGGGGCCTCCTGAAAATGGAAACGAGTTTCCTTATATAAAAGGAAAAGTCGGGACGTCTAGGTGGCACAGCTGGATGAGTGTCTGACTCCTGGTTTCAGCTCAGGTCATGATCTCAGGGTCATGGGATCAAGCCGTGCATCGGGCTCCACGCTCAGCACAGAGTCGGCTTGAGATTCTCTGTCCCCGTCCTTCTGCCCCTCCCACTCATGCTCCCTCTCTCTCTCTCAAATAAATAAAAAAATCTTAAAAAAAAAGAGGAAATGTCATCTGAGCCAATGAGAGGCAAGCATGGCCTAGTATCAGAAGCAACAATTCCCTAATGAAGAATTACAGAACTGGGGCACTCCAAAGTATCTCGCATCACCCCAGTCTCACGGTCCTACCCTGCAGGTAACAATTCAAGAGAGTACCTGACACTTCTCCAGCGCCTGCTCTATGTTAGGCTAAGAAATAAGTCCAAGATCACATGGGGGGAAGAAATGGCCAAGACAGGACTCCCAGGACTGTGAGCCTCATGCCACACCACCCATCTCTCCAGGTCAGTCGCAGAAGTCCTAGGTGAATCATGAGCCAGGACTAATAATAACGCGGATGGTAATAACGCTGATAAGATGAGAACAGGACCAAATGCTGGCGACCCCACATGCCAGGTCCAGGCTACAGGTGTCACAAACCTCCAAACAACCCTACGAGAAGGCATTACTGCTCTCTCCTTTTTACAGCAAGAGAAAGTAGGCCTGGAAGAGGTTATTTCACCTTTGTCCATCCCATAGTGAGGATCCACTAGAAGAGGAGCCAGAACCCAAGACTGGGCTGATCCCAGAGCCCAACCCCGTGAAGCCAGACCGCCCTCCCAACCGGAATCCAAGCCGAGTCTGTCCACTTCCAGGTGCATGTCCACATCCGTTCGAGGGATTATAACCAGAGGCCCACACTACCATGGAGGCAGTGCCTAGATCCGTTCACACGTGGAAGAAAAGCAGAGCAAGCACCCCCGGGTGCGTGTTACCTTCACCACCTCGCCGCCGTCCACCTTCATCAGCTGTCTCAAGTTCTGCTGCAGCAGGTTGGTGTTGGAACGCCACTTCAAGAGCCCCAGCAGGTCCACTGAAAACACAGAACCAGCTTCAGCTCCTCCCGGCAACAGCTTTGTCTCCCTTCCTCATGGAGCAGCTGAGGGTCTCGACGTAATTTTGAAACAGAAAAATCAACCCTATTTGGAAACGTTTGCTGCTCCATACTTCATTTCGTTCTAGAACATACTTGACACCTAGTATGGCTGAATTCATTATTTCTAACTACATTTCCCATGAAATGATTTCCACATTGAAGTTTCTTAAAAATGTGTTCGGGGGGCACCTGAGTGGCTTGGGCGGTTGGGTGGCCAACTCCTGATTTCAGCTCAGGCCATGAACTGAGGCTCCATGCTCAGCGCGGAGCCTGCTTGAGATTCTTTCTCTCCCTCCCTCTGCCCCTCCCCCCACTCATGTGTCTCCTCTTTCTCTCTCTCAAATAAATAAATAAATCTTTTTAAAAAATGCATTCAGGAGTTTAAGGAAAAAGGGCTGGCCTCTCCAATCTGCAAGAAGGTATACTCAGCCCAGCAGAGGGTCTGGAAGGAGGCTGCTCACCCACAAAGTGCTTCCCTGAAATCTACCAAGTGGATTTTTCCTTCTTGAGAACATGGCTTTTTGTTTTTTGTTTTTGTTTTTTTTAAATTAAATAACATAAAATAAGAAATGTACCTTCAGGTACAGAAACCGCAAGGTCACAGGGAGCCTGAACCACAGGGCAACCGCTGACCTCACCCTGGCCTGGCCTTCCAGGGCTGTTCATTTCTGTGGCCGAATTTTTGTTTCGTTTGTTTTCTAACAGAAAAAACACAGACTGAATGGATGGATTTTTACAGACTAAATGCGGAAGACGAGGTCCAGAAATGATTTTGTTTAAGGCAGCAAGATGTTCTTGAAGACATGAAGACAGAATTCAAAGCATCTCTACGAAAGAACATGTGCCTACACAATCTTCACTTGAAGTTATATTAATATCCCATTACGTGAAAAAAAAACACAATTAGCAAAGTGCAACCAATTTACCGTTTATGCTCATTGGGAACAAACTTGAACTACACAAAGTACCTCCATTAAAAAAACAAAAACAACAACAAAAAAAACCCTAGTTAATATCGAAAAGAAAAATGTAATTTCGGCAATAGGTAGCATTTCAGGGAACACGAAACACCTATTAAGGACTAAACCACACAAAAGGAATTATTCATGTGATGAGCACCAAAACACTTGTTCTTATTTATTTGTCCTTAGCCCCCAAGTGCAGCTGACAAGGGGACCCGTGGAAACAGAGAGGACAGGAGCTGAAACACCATGTAAGAGGCTCAAACACACGCCGGGCCACGCCGCGAGCCCATGACCTTGGGCAAGGAACCTCAACTCAGTTTACCTATCTGAATGATGAGTATGATGTTGCCAAATTACAGGGCTGGTGCCAGAGTTAAAGGGTGTGACGTGGAGAAAGTGCTCGGCAAGATACCCAGACAAGAGCAGCCTTCCACCACCAAGATGATCAAGAAGTGAAAATTTTAACCATTCAAGGGGAAAGTTAAGATGTTTTCATTTCTCAGTGAAAATTAACATATTTTCTTCCTTTCTAAAGGAAGGCGAAGTAATGACAAAGGCCACATCCTGCCTGGACCTGCTCTTGGCCCCAGGGTTAAGGGAGATTTCCATCTCACCAGAGTTGTTTTTTTGTTTTGTTTTGTTTTGTTTTGTTTTGTTCTGTTTTGTTTTATTAATGGCAAGTAGTTAATAATCTGGAATCTACGCAAAGTTAGTGGCACTTTAGGTATGAGGGAGGCTGAGGCTGACCTCTGTAAGGTAAATCTGAGAAAACGTACAACTGGCAAATGAACAGTGGAAGAAGGCCTCTGAGGAGGGGGTGTGTTTTAAGAAAACAGAGCTTGATCAGCGCCCCGGCTACCCAGGTCAGACCGGCGCTCCCCGACCCAGTCCTCATTCTGGGGAGCCCACGGTCATTCTGTGTTTTGTGACTTCTCTCTAATTACCCAGGAAGCTAATTGAGGAGAGGAATCACATCCTCTACTTCTCATTTTATCCCCCATAGCATCCAGTAATGCTGAGAACAGAGATGTTTAATACAAACCTCGATGAACAATTCAGCCACCGCTTTTCCCTAAGTAATGGAACTTCGCAGGAACGAATCACGGACACAGAAAAATGACTCCCAGAATGAGAATCTGGGACTCACTGCTCAGATGCCAAGTAAGGCAGCTCCATCTCGCAATACCACCTGCCACGCCACCATCCCAAGAAGAGGAATCATTGGCTGCTGCGCAATGAAAGCCAAAAGATGTCCCCTTGATTCTCAGTGAGCAGCATCACCCTGGAATTTCCTTGTTGCCAGGCAACAGATGCTTCGGAGAGTAGGGTGCGCATTCCCTCAGTTCCAGGGAGGGAATCACCCTGTGACTGATAACAGCCAAGGAGCTGGGAGGTGCGAGGCGTCGACATCACACCCCTGGGCGATTGCTGCTACTTAATACCTTGGGAGATTTCTGGTTCACAGTCCCCTTCTACAACAATCCGTGGGTTAAGAAAGATTCTGTGGGCGGGCCTCCCAACCTAACTGCTCTTCCGAACATTGTTTCGATGGGGAAAATATATTCAAGTTCCAAATAACAACTTCCAAACATATTTCTGGAGCATGACCCATGCATAAGATGGGTGGCTTCCTACATAAAGGAAACGGCAATACACAGCACCTCTCATTTGTCCGGCACGTAATGAAAAGCTAAGTGCCACACGTATGGGGTAGCGACTTACCGGTGAGGCTGCCGTTGCCCTGAGTTCACTGAGGCCCTGGACGGTGTAGCCGTCAGATTAGGCAACTAGCAGGACCACATCCAGAGAGTAACATTTGACCTATGGGGCACCCCTTCCATAACGCAGTCCCAAACCAGCAACCTGATTTGCTGACCACATGCCCCCTGGGCACGAAAGTTGCACACTCCCGGTGCATTCTGCAGCCCTCCCCACACTTGCACAGAACCCAATGCCCAGGTAAGGGTTTGCATTTGCTTATGGAGATGACTGCACACCACCAGCTAGGAGAATTCAAAATGCTTCGGGCAACCGTGATGATGAAGATAACATTAGAGAGACATGTCCAAATGGCCTTCCCGCATTTGAGTGACACGTTCCCCCACACAGCTGACTCAAGAGAAGCGGTGAGGAAGCACACTTTGTCCAGGCCGGCAGAACACAGGGGAGACGGCAGGCACGGAGAGTGGGAACACCCAGCCCGCTCTCCACTCCAACGCCATGGCTTCCTGATGATGGGGTCCCTTTGTCCCGCATTTACCCTGTTAGAGCCCAAACAATGACCCTCCCTCAGGCAACTCCGAGACTACTGCCAAGATTTACGGACAATCCCCAGAGACACAATTCAAGATACCAACAAACATTAATAATCAAAATCCATATTGGGTGGTGAAGAGGAAAAATTGGATTTTCAAGCTGAGTTTCAAGAGAGGATCAAGTCTCTCTGCACGGCTGTGCTACGGCCACATTTGGGGGATGCAATCTGTAAATGTAGGAAGTGTGCAGAGGGGCCTCTGCTGCTCCAGACAGCACGCGGTGAGTAAGACGGACGGCCACGCTGCTCGGAGTCTGCAAGCAGTGGTAATGAGGCAGCCCAGCCGGCCCAGCACAGGACGCCAGGCACCCCCTGACACCACGCTTCTGTGTGATTCAATCGGCCAGGGAACTAGAAATGTCATCCAAACCAACGTTTAAAAGTAAAGATAACTGGTAACTACCTCCGTTGAGTAGCTGGGAGATGGGAAGGCACACACACAGAGCGGGTATCTCGGATCCTCCAGCATGTGTAACCCCCACACCCTCACGAAGCCCTCTGAGGCAGACATCACATCCTCATGTGTGCAGAGATGAGGAAAGTGAAGTTCGGTTTCACAGGCCCTCACTCAAGGTCACTTCCAGGGTGAGCACAGGGCAAGGGCTCCATACCCGGTCTTTGGTCTGACTCCAAATCCCGTGTTTTCCCTTAAGCCATGCTACCTTCCTTTGGCCAAAAACCTTTGAAAGCAAACCCAATGGTTTATCTCTCATTAAGGTTAATGTATAAACCAAAATGGTAGCGAACTTTCAAGTGCAGCGGATGCCACGCCCCCTTCTGGTCCAAGGACACCCATGCCTGCGAGCACCAGCACACAGAGCGCAGAGGACGCGTGGGGCGGACAGCGGGCCCGGAGCCGGAAAAGGACAGGGTAGAGGGAGGGAGACTGCAGGGGGAACACAGGGCCATCACCAAACTCACCGTTCTGGGTAAGTTTGGTGGAGCACACGAGAGTTGAGATCTGGAAGGAGTCTTTGCTGATGGTGCAGCTCCCAAGACTCTGCATGCTCCTGCCCGTGGCCGAGTGGGCCTTTTCTTCTAACTCTGCTTTCGTGGAGGGCAGGCTCAAGTACGTGGCAGCGTCCTCCAGCTTCTTCGCCTCCGCCTGTGGGTTGAATTACGAGCACGTCGGTCACAATCAACGACATCTAATTCTTGCTATCCTTAATCCTTTTAACCATCATGGTATTTGCTCTTTATCATTTGCAAAACTGTTTAACGATTTCCCTTATTCTTGTGGATTCATTCATGTTGACATTTACTGCACCTCATCCTCTCTCATCAGGACCAGCAAAAGGGCCGGTCATCTGAAATGTGCATTCGGATAACTAAGTGTAGCTAGAGAGCAGCTTTCTCACAAAGACAGGAAACGTCAGCTCAGGCGAGGAGTCCCAGAGAGGAGTGAAGCAGTCCCTGCCGGCAATACGGCCCCAAGCAAGCGGTATACCTTGTAGACGATGAGATCGTGCTCCCCGTCCCTCAGCGTGGTGCCATCATATCTCATCAGCTTTACAAAGGCCAGTGCAAATATTTTCTCAGATTTGTCCTTGGCTGCAAGAGAAATCAATCATCATCTTCAACCGCCGTCATGGCAATATCACATAAAAAACTACCAGGGCTACCTTTACGAAAACATGACAAAACTGCATTGAATTAAATAGAAAGAAATGGAAAAAATGGGAGTGTTCACTAGGAGGAAGACTCCTCTTAACGGGACCAGTGGTGTTCAAAATCACCTGTAAATTCCAAGTAATTCCAATCAGAATCTCATGGAAGAGTTTCCTCACAGAACATGAAAACGGATTCCCAAGGTCCAGAGCAGAAGAAGGGTGCTGGAGAGCATGGGCGGGGTGCTCTGCAAACCTAGAAACCAGCAGTGACTGGGCAGTGACCACAAAGACCACAGTGCAGCTTGACATCGGGGACACACAGAGTGTGTGCACACACAGGGTCTGGAAACACAAGGTGAAGAGCAGTGCAGTAGGGACAGGCCATTCCCGGAGAAAACTGGCTATCAATATGGAAAAGCAGAACAGATTCCTACCTCATGGCATCCATTAGTATAAATTCAGGTGGAGTGAACATACGAATGTGAAATTTTGTTCTCTGGCAAGAAAGCGCCTCCCCCAGATACCTGGATGTTGGAGAGGACTCAGTACCTCCGGTTCATTCACGTTTCGGTTGACAGATCACCTGCTCCGAGGTGACCAGACCATCTAACACAGCAAATTATAACCTGGTCACACACTCTCTCCCCTCCCCTGATGCATTTTTCTTCATGACTGCTGTGGACTGTATTGTGTCCCCCCCGCAGTCTGGTGCTGGAACCCTAACCCTCCCCATGTGACTACAGTGAAGATGCAGCCTGTAGGAAGGGGGCCTGAGGGTAGTGAGGTCCTAAGGGGGGAGCACTGATCCCATAGAACTAGTGCCTTTCGGAAAAGGAGAAAGAAACAGCAAAGCTCTCCTCCGCTTTGAGTTCACAACCTGGACGAGCATCCCCACCAGACACCGGGGTGCCGGCGCCCTGCTCTCAGACTCCAGCCTCCAGAACCGTGAGAAGATACACTTCTGTTGTTCAAGCCCCCGCAGTCTATTGTGTTACAGCTGCCCGAGCAAACCGAGAGGACAGTCCTGATCCCCGCCAGGTCACCAGGTGAGCGAGCATGCGTGCGTGCACGTGAACCGCACGCTTGTCACTGCTCTTTCCCCAGTGCCTGCAACAGTGTCTGCCACCCATTAGGTACTCGGTAAACGTTTGTTCTAGCTGGGGAGATGCCAACTAACTGGTTCTCTCGCTTGGTGACAGGGACGTGTGAGGCGGGGAATGGTGGGAACAGGGACGAGTGGCTGGACGGTTGGACAAAGTGTCTGAGGAGATGGGAGAACATGGGAGCCTGTGCGTGAACCTTCCCGGGACAGACACGGCCAAAGGCAGTCCCTGAGTGGGCCCAGGCTTGGCCCCTTGGGGACAGAGAGCCAGAGGGCTGGTCAGCAGTGGGTGGTGAGCGGGCCAGGGGCCAGCGCAGGAGGGAGATTAAGGAGTCTCCACTGAAGAAGTAGATTCTGCGTGGATTCTGCAAGATGCAACTGAGTACAGCATGGAAACACTGAGTTTCAGAGCTATCATCTTTAAAATTATATATCCCACATTCTCTTTTTAGAGATGAAAAGAGAGGAGCGCCTGGGTGGCTCAGTCGGTTGAGCCTCTGCCTTCGGCTCAGGTCATGATCCCAGGGTGCTGGGATCGAGTCCCACGTCGGGCTCCCTGCTCAGCGGGAAGCCTGCTTCTCCCTCTCGCTCTCCCTCCGTGCTCTCCCTCTCCCTCTCTCTCTCTCAAATAATAAAATCTTAAAAAAGAGAGACAGAGATGAAAAGATAGAGGTCAAGGAAGGAAGGAGCACATCCACGCACCTTGAGTCAGAGGCTCAAAAATATTTACCCCAAGTCACCACCACTGCACAAGATAACGCGTCTCGTTAATCCGTGCAGCCCTGGTGTCCATCAGTACCTGGCACACAGTAGGTACTCACTAAATGCTAGCTAATTAGAAAGTTGAAGGAATGATTGACCAACCAAAATAAAGGGAGGGATGAAGGCAAAAAAATATGTATCCTAGGAATCAAAATAATAATAATAATAATAACAACTTTGTAAAAGGGCATAGAAAACATAAACTACCGTAATGTTCAGGTGAGAAAGAACAGATCCTTCTAAGTTTGAGCTGATGTGAAAAAAATACAGACCTGGCTCCACGAAAGCAGCCGTGGTTCAAAAGGACACGTGAGCATCACCGTCAGCACACGGCTTCCCCTGATCCTACTATTAATTAGCACAAATAACATCGTGCACCTTTTATTAACGTTCTATACCTTTACCTCGAGGCCACGGGCTGCAGTTATTACGGCTCATTAGCAGCCGCTGGGAGTAGACAACAATTTTACAGGACGCAGAGGGCACATGAGGCAGGGCGGCCCCACCCAGCCAGGCCCCCTACGAGCCTGGGAAACTGGCCCCTGGCCGGCTGGACCCGGAGCCACAAGGCCGCTCAAGTTCGGGTGAAACAGGAGCGGATGCATCTGTAATGGCTAACGAGTTGCTGGAGCGTCTATCACATCAGCACGAAACTTCCCACCGGGATGGATCCCAGCCTGAGAAATCCCATCACTTGTTCCCTATGCTCACCTCCCTTTGTAGGAAAAGCAGCTCATTGCAGGGGGCCGGGGGGACAGGCAATGTGGCCTCACTTCCTCCTGTTTCTGACCCCGCGTGTCCACATTCAGGGAGGCTGAGGAGGCCCCAGTGGATGCAGTCACTCCCAGAGCAGACAGCTCAGGACTGCATCAGCCCCACACTCCTGTGCTCCACACGGCTCCAAAACCGCACAAGCCATGGCCCCAGAGCCTCATTAATTATGCAAATGTGTGGTGGTGTGTCGGGTGACAGCATCTTGTCAGTAATGAGTACTTAAAACTGACTGGGAAAACAAGGATTTTGAAAATTAAAATGCTACAGACGATATCCCTCTGCCCTAATGTAATTTATTAATCAGAGAGAACAAGCTTGTTGTAAAGGGCGAGCACGCCTTTGACACAAGTCTTCTGTGGATTCCAGAACTCTGTCCTTGCCCTCCAGGGCTCCCACCTTCTTCTTCTGGAGTGGCAGCCCGCTCCCACCCCAGGCTATTCCATTCGTGCAGGCTGCCCGGCCCACCACTCCCTGTATGCTTTGGCCGAGGAAAGACATGCCCGAGTGTCCCCCATCCACGCACCCCGTTCCGTTCACCCCACACCTCTGCCTATTACTCCACAATCCTCCCAGGTTGACCCCACACCTCAACTCAAACTGAAGTTTGGAAACAGAACCTTCTCTGTGAGGTGTAGACAGCAGGTACTAAATTAAGACCAGAGAATGGAAGTGGCCTCACCACGCCCCCAAGGTGTGGGGGCGGGACACTCAAGCACACAGACTAGGTTTGAACCCGAGGCCCCCCACTGACTAGCTGGGTGACCTTGGGGGACTGAGGTGGGGTCTGGAAGCCTCAGGTTCCTCCACCATAATGTGTGGAGCAATGACCACAGCGACAGTGCATGGGGTCATTGTGGGTGAGGGCAGATCCAAACGGCACAGTAAGAGCACATGAATGTTAGCTAACACTTATGAGCCGCTGTTCTTACCCCAAAGTTCTGGCCATCGAGGAGTGCCACGCATAATCAGCAGACCCCGGCCCGCCGCCTGGTGGGCTGGCTCAGGCCATCAGGCAAGTCTGCGGTGGTTGGGGACTGCTTCCCACACTGCCCAGCCCTCATGACCCCGCTCCTCCCACTCTCCCTGAACCCCGACCCCTCATTAGCTAGGGCCCTGCTCTGCTGAGACAACAGGACGGGACGGGTGGTGGAATGATGCTGCAGACCCACCTGCCCCCCCGCAACACACACACCCGCTTACCACGAAGGACCCCGTACTATCTCGATCCCTTTGTTCTTTCGCCCCTGTGGCCTCACGCCAGCCCCCCCAAGCTGTGCTGATATGCGTGCTCTCCATACACCAGCCCTGCGGACCACAAGAACACGCCTCCCCAGTGCTTCTCAACAACAGTGGGGTCCTGGCTCCTCGCCGGCCCCACAGTGGGGTCTACCTTCCCCAGCTTCAAGCTTTTGCACATATACTTGCTCTCCTGCACCCCCTCCCTCTGCAGGTCCCACACCTCGGAAAGGGCCTACGTCAGGCAGGCCCCCTTCCAGAAACAGCACGAAGGATGGACACATTACCACACAGCAGTGGCTTCTGAGGAGCCCCACCCCTATGCCAGGCATCATGCCATGGGTTCGACAGCCTCCATCCTGCTTGGTCAAGACCCCCGGGCATTTATCCTCCAGATGAAGTATCTGTGAGGACACAGAGAGCCAGAGCAGAGGACCTCCATCCAAGTGGTCCCCAAGGGAGTGTCGGTGACAAACACAGCCCTCCAGACCACTCTTTCCCTCAAAGCGACAGCACACACAATGTAGCCAATCTTACTGTTCATTAAATCTTAGCTCACTGCCCTGTAGGTACAGACCATGAAGGGCAGGGAGACATATAGCTGCCTGTCGTGATGTCGTAGTGTCTAGCACAGGGCTACGTCCTTAGCAGACGTTAATGAACATGACAAGACAAACTCCAGTCATCAATAAAGAACTCTTCTGGAAGGACAGGGACCCAAACCCCAGTTCTTCCCTCCCAGCTTCTCAGCATCAGTCAGCACTACACCAACATCTCCTCTCAGCCTGAAGCCAGACACCGGGGGCCGCCCACAAACACAAAACGGGTCTCGAGGGTTTCCATTCCAATGCAAATGGCAGTAAGAGCCAATTTCTGAAATCCACTTGTATCTTAGTGACTTTTCGGATGGATGGAACAGTGTTACAAGTCACATGGAAGAGAGGAAACAGGTCAACATGGAAATGAGCTAAAGGATTAAGACCACATCGTGTTAGGATCACCTAGTCCTAGAACAATCCAGAACAATCCAGAACAAGTGACAAGTGCAGCCTACGGAGCTTTCCCCTAGTTTTCCCTTGCAAGCAACACGGGCTAAATTCAAGGGATTACTCACAGTCCTGTGACGACCTGTGGCGGAAGGTAAACCGAAGGTGACTGCGATTGACATCTTCGATGGGAATGGCCACCTGCGCAATTGAAAGAGGAAGTTTCAGCACCCGTTCTGTATCTTCTCACATTAATGGTTTTGTTCAAATGGAGATACTATGCAACTGTACACATTTCCTCCCTGAAGGGATGAAAATACTGTATGCCTAATCCCCTATAGGGCTTTCCCAAAGGCAAAATGCTTTTGGAAAATTTAAACAAGACAATATTGCAAGGGATGCCAAACCAATTCTGCAAGACAGCAGAAGTTTTCGTAAACATTCACGTCCTCACTGTTAAAAGTCTATTTTTTACAAGTTGACAATTTCCTAGTAGCCCTTATTGGAGGTGTCCACAGTCCCTCCATAGCTGCAGGGACCTGCCCTCGGGCAGCAGGAAGAAAGCTTTCCTGTTGTGACGAGGAGTCAAAGAAGAAAGACCCCATGCATACTGCCTTTAAGCGAAGACTGCCCCAAATCCTATCTGCTCTCCGTCTTCTAAGGCCAACCCCAGGCTGGGTTTCCCAATATTCAAGCCCTCGGCACAGGGGCTGGGATGTACCATGGTGGGCTGCCGTACTGACATCAGCAAGCCACGTCAGGAGAGCAGAGTGCCACACCATGGACGGGGACCTGTCTCCCCAGCGACATCCTCCATATATTGTCACCTCTATTTTTTCCCATTTGGTGTAAAGACAGCATGCCACACATATAACAGACCCAGGAAGAGAAAGATAATAGCTATCTTTAGAGGACTCTGTCATTTGTCTCCATGAAAGTCCTGTTTTTATGTCCAAAAGGAGATGAGAGTAAATGTATTCCAAGAAATGCCAGCATGGCTCCTTAGCAACCTTGAACGACTTTGTTGGGAGAGCGCCTCTGCCTGCTCAGGGTGCCTGCTGACGAGCAGCCCCGGGTTGGGTGGGAGCTGGGGACTTCCTTGGGATACAAATGAGCATTTCATAATCAACCCCGTGGGATAAAATGACCATGTAAATGATACCTTAACGGTCTCAAACCAACGTGGCTGTTTTACTTGGTAGTAAATCACAGACTTGTACTCCGAAATCGCTTCATCACCAGCGCCCGGGTAAATCACATGCTTTAAAAGAAGGCATAAAGAGTTCACATCAGACCTCATAGAGCTTGACACTGCATCCATCTCCCCACCTCCCGCCCCCATTAGATGAGCTAAGCAGAGCACTACAGGAATACCAATAAACCCCATCACAAATGGAATATGCTCCCAGAAATGGAAGGACAGATCCATCTGGAGCCAGCGCGGCCAGCACACAATCCTGCTCGCAGACAGTTAAGCATCTCAATGGTTATCAGTACAGGGATGCTACTGTCCTCACCCTTCGTACCCTCACCCCTAACAGCCTTAACATTAAGGTCGGCAGGAAGTCACCTGATTCACTCAGTAGGTCCAGAATGAAGAGCTACAGGCTACGAAGGAGGTGGCAACACTCCTTCCCGATCCACCAGCTGTAAACACTGACCACTTGGCTCCGAGGAAGCAATGCCAATAAAGCCCAAGTGGCAAGGGTAACACCTCCCGGCAGTGACACTCGACATGGGCCACCCCCACAGAAGGGATGCCGCCCCCACCTCCTGGCACAGCTGAGCCTCAGGTGCATACACAGGGCATTGCTCTCAAACACGTGGGCTTAGGACAGCCCAGCCCGCCACCCAGGGTCCACAGTGGTAGCCAGCAGGGGCACCTTCTCTGGCGTGGCCTCCGGTCATCAGAGGTCACCGTCCCCGAGCACTGCCCAGCACGCCAAGTCCTGCAGGCCGCCGTGGTAACTACCACCACCCAGGAGAGCACAAGGTCAGAAACCCAGATTCAAACCCCAGTTTCACCCCCCACTAGCTTGATGACCCTTACAAGACTTCCCTGGGCCTCAGTTTCCCCAGCTCTCAGAATGTGATAATAACGGTGTCTGAACTTCTAGTGGGACCATTAGACCTCTGAGCCCTGGATCTATGCTGACAAGGGCCAGGAAAACAGAGGGGGTCAGGACCGCAGAGGTCTCCCGAGGCAGGTGTCAGCCAGGACCCCGTGCATGCCAGCGCTTTACAGCGAGCTGGAGAAAGGGATAAAGAACAAACTCTCATCCCCAGAAATGGGATCACGCGGTCCCAGCTACATCTTTTCCTACTCTGTAGCAAAGCCAAGAAAACACTTGGAAAATAAAGTTTCCACGCCACACATTAAGCTTTGCAACAATAAATACCTCCAGCCGTTTTCCATCTTCATCGTAAACAGACACTGTAACCTCCACATTCTTTGCTGTGGTTTTGCTTCCTTTATCAAAATCTCCTTGAACTAATGTAACGTAGATATCATTTCGAACATCACCTGGGGGAAAAATTATACCTTTAAAACCAGTCCATTATTCATAATGTAACCAGGAATTCTGCAACACTGTTGAAATTGCTACCAATCCTAGCAGAGGATTATAAATACTGTATGATGATTACAAAATATTTTCTACAAAACAGTCTCAGCATTTAAAGGCATGACAAAAGCAGTTTTCAGCATCGTCATCATAAGATCACTAGAAGGAGGAAAAACATCAAGGCCCTTAATTATCTGCATGGTCCTTCACCTCGGTGGGCAGCTCATGCCCATGGTGACTCGAATGCTGCCGATGGGTTTGCAGGGACCATCCCCTGTCCAGTGTCTACGGCCCATCGTGACTGCCATCACTATCTCACGGTGGACCACTGGCTGTGTTCTCGGCGTCTGGGCAGCCAGAGTATCACGCCATCAATGGCACACCTCGGATGACAACTGGCAATATTGGCTTCCTCTACATTTTTCTAAGGAGTGGAACACAAAGCTGATCGAGAATGAGAACCACCACAAGCCAAGGTTCTGAGTTGATGTCTGGGATCAGGGACTAGGGGTGGGTCAAGAGAGAAACTTTCTGCACGGACGTGGATCTTCTCTCCTCCTGGTGGGCAGCTCTCAGGATCAGAACCGACCTGTTCTGTTCCGTTCAGAGCAGAACAAAACAGACCTGTGCATTTTAAAGTGAGATGGGCCATAAACTGTGACAACAAAAACAAATACAAAACCCATACACAACAAATAAACTCAAGACGCTTCTTCCTACTGAGAGCCTATGAGGCCCCTGATAATGGTCCGACTGGAAAAACATAGCAAGCTTCATTAGCAGCGTGATTGAGAGCAAGCTTCACTACCCAGTGCCTATTCCTCCGCTGTCCGTCTGGTCACCTCCCACGCTGACCCACCTGCTCTCCCACAGGGGATGTGAGCAACGGGTCCGTCAAGAGCAGCAAATGGCCCACTACGGGCCAAGGACAAGTCCCCTTGCTTTTTTGTTTAGTCCCGTTCTTTCTTTCTTTCTGCTCTATTCTGGCTTTTAATGTATCCGACTATTAAATTAAGCTTTCATTTAAAAGTCACTATTATAAAAATCCCAGTGGGTTGCTCCCACAGCCACACTCAGTCCTGGCAGAGAAGTGTGACTGCAGTCAGTACTACTGACGGTGCGAGAAGCTAAGAGTGATGGAGCCCAGGGCCAGGCGCAGGAGGCAAAGCTGCCAAGCCAACACCTGCCACCAATCCCTGTGTGACCGCAAACAAGTCACCTAACCCCCCAACGCCACCCACCGTGGAACAGCCTCATCGATAAGGCAGGGGTTGTACGATCTGTAGGCCGTACGATCCCTGCCTGCACATTCTACCGAAGCACAAAAGCCATAAGCAAAAAGGGCCACAAGAGCTTCATAAAGGTCAGAAGCCCATCAGACAGCTGGGGGCAGGGGGGTGGTGAACCCCATGGTCTCACTCTCCTACTGGCCTAGTCATCCACACTCAGAGCCATCCCAGGAGTGAGACCCTATTTACAGCAGATGAACCCCACAGATGCACACTCACGACAGTGCCCTCAGTGGAGGCCTGCAGGGCTCCAGGGTTCTCGTTCTGGGGAGGAAGGAACTGAAAGCAGGCATGTGTGAACTCAAAGAGAAGACTCCCTCTGCCTCATGCAAGCCTCCAGCCACCTTCCCGGCTCAGAGGAAAACTCTGTTTCCCACCAGGATCCTTCAGAAACCTGCAGGATTTCCAGTGGCTCGCAGAAAGGCAGAAAGCCAGCGACACAGGTGACACAGCAGGCTCTCCCGCCGTGCAAAGGAGATGCACATCTCTGTAAAAAGCAGCCCCGTAAGATGGGACAATGCACAGATCCTGCCAAGCTAAAGGCCAGGGATCTGAGTGAAAACACCCCAGGCTGTCTCTCTCTCTCTCTCTCTCTCTCTAAGGGTACCATGCGGCACCCACAGCCTGTCGATGATTCCCCGGCCCTAAAAGACAACATGATGACTCACTCTAGCTAGAAGCCCACGCTACGGGAACCCCGACTCCCAACTCAGCACACAGAACCAGCCAGAACAATGGTCGGCTGTATGGCTTCCCCGGAAATCTGTTAGGAGATTATTTTAGAGGTCAAGACATACCTTTCTTTTTTTTTTTTAATTTTTTTTTCAAAGATTTTATTTATTTATTTGACAGAGAGAGATATAGCAAGAGAAGGAACACAAGCAGGGGGAGTGGCAGAGGGAGAAGCAGGCTTCCCGCAGAGCAGGGAGCCCGATGCAGAGCTCGATCCCAGGACCCTGGGATCATGACCTGAGCCGAAGGCAGACGCTTAATAACTGAGCCACCCAGGCACCCTAGACTTACCTTTTAAGTTGGTCAATTATAGGGGCACCTGGGTGGTTCAGTTGGTTGAGCGACTGCCTTCGCCTCAGGTCATGATCCTGGAGTCCCGGGATCGAGTCCTGCATCCGGCTCCCTGCTCAGCGGGGAGTCTGCTTCTCCCTCTGACCCTCCCTCCTCTCGTGTGCTCTCTCTCTCTCTCTCATTCTCTCTCTTTCAAATAAATAAATAAAATCTTTAAAAAAAAAAAAAAGTTGGTCAATTATAAAAAGAAATACAACCAGTATGAGCTAGAAGTTTTCCGGGTCTCCCTTTTGAACATGAGGCCATCCTAGACCACCCAAGACGAATGCCCATTGTCATCCTAATCTATAAATTTCATCTCGAGTCCACATGCAAGCAATACATCCACTAAGAGCTCCAAATTAATTTGCTGCACACAGACTTGACTCCTGCCCTACAAAGTATCCCTCGGTTTCACAGCATGCTGGACATCACGCTTTCTTCCTGTACAGGTGAGCCACTAAGATCCAGCCTAACCAATTTGAGATGTCCTTCACATTGATTCACCAGTCAGAGGACACAATGACCCACAACAGCCCTGAAAGATAGAGGTAGCAGAAAGAACATGTCCCCACCTGCCCCAAAATAAACAAAGCAGTTAACTCTGACAGCATGCACAAAGAGCAGATACCTCTCCCTGCGAGCGTACAGCAGGGCCCTATAAAGGGACACCATGGGGAACCTCTGAATGTGGGGGGGTTTGGCCCCATTTCTACTGCTCATTAGCTGTGTAACTTTAGGCTGCGGCTTAATTTCGATCACAATTAGTTCAACACCAATGTGTAGGCTTCCAAGATCCTTAGATCAAGCCAAACTATTAATGTGAGCATTATGTGCAAACCAAAAAGTATCCCACAGATATAAAGGATATTCACGGGCTTGCCCAAGATCTCTTGAGGATCAGATCAGATTATTAATATGATATTTGGAAAGTGAAAAGTATTATGTAAATATGAGATTAATCTTAACATGGAATTCCATTATGGGTTTAATAAGCTTAAAATCCATTATCGGGCCTGAGCGATACTACGTAATATGAACTAAGCAGGCACCAGGTGTGAACATTTACTTGCTGCCCCTCCTTCCTTGTTTTGATCAGATGTCTGCCCAAAAACACGTCAGGTGTCCACGTCTCCCTCATACAATCCTTGCCGTTAGGAGGAGTTGACATCTAGGTGGCTAATGTGCACACTCCACCCCCAAGCCCATCACTGTCCGGGGACTGCAGGGCAGGGGCCTGAGCAGGCCAGTCTGGATGATGCTCAGGCTCCTTGCTGGGCAACACTGGTTCAAAAGCACACTATCTTCTTCAGGACACTGGGGTCTGGGAAGAAAATGGGAGCCATCAGGGCCCTTACCCAGAGGACAAAGTCAATATGCACAGGAGACAACCCAGCAGTGGTTACTATGGAGAAACGGAGCTGGTGCCCGGGCTGACCCTGTTGCTCAGGTGCGTGAGCCAATGAATATCCTCAGGGTTCAGCCGTCTGAGCTGGGCTTGTGCTTTCTTTGACATTACCCCCTACAGCATCCCAATTCCAACCCACCCTACAGGGAGGAATTATCATTACTCTCCTTCTTCAGAGTAGCAGAGCACAGCTAATCGAGGCTGGGGAGAAGCTGTGGTGCAACTCCAAACAGAGGCTGGACTCCAGGTCCTGAGCTCTCACTTCCGGGGCGGAAAGCCGGCGTCACCTAATTGTGCCCCCTTAACTTTGAACACATTCTGGACGATTCCAAAGCTGTTATAGGACCTTCATTGTGAACCTACGTTAACATCATAAAAGAGCTGCCTTCAGCCTACAGTGAACCAACCACATGATTGACCCATTGATCAGAACCTAAAGTGAAGCCCGCAGGGCCCTAGAAAGGGCCCCAAGCTCCACCGCCCTTTATTACATTTTATGTTACCCAACTCCGCACATGCAGTCCGGCAGCCGGGGTCAGTGGAATGTCTAACTCCCATTCTTCCTTTTCACCAGATGAGGTGGGGCAGAAACAAACTGCAAGGCTTCTGGATTAAGGGTAACAATGGATTACGGGACAATAAAGGGTTTTGCTTACAGTAATGACGACATTCACTCCAGCTGGTGGCAGAAACCCACCTCAAGCTGGGTTTCTGGAAACGCTGATTCCCGTGCTTGTCCTCATTACAATACTACCAGAAGTCACTCCCACCAGCAGGTTATTACAACCAAGAGAAGCCACCTCCCTGCAGCCCGAACCTAGGTGGTCAGCGCTCACTCTGGCCACAGCTCCTGCCTGCAGGAATGATCCACAGCCACCCTGGGGTGGACACATCACGTCCCACAGGCTCGTCCGTCACTGTCCCCACACCGCGCGTTGTGGCCAGCTCTACAAGCTCCCCGAACACCGGCCACATCCACGCCACACACAGAGCGCTGAAGGAATCGGTCCTTACCAGGCATGATTATCTCTGGAAACCCCGTTTTCCGAGCCACCGCTGTGGTCCTGTCCACTAAATGAGGAAATTCTTTTCTAATCTGATGGATATCTCCAGGAAGTAATTTCAATGTTACCCACAAACCTAGAAAGACAATGGACACATGAGTCATGTTTTATCTTATACATTTTTGAAGAATTATTTCAGGAAACCCATCTCAACGAATGAGCAACTGTTAATTCACAAGTTAACAGCTTAGGAGAAAATGTGGGTGTATGAAAAGAGAAAGAGGGGCCAGGGAAAGGTGGCTGGCACAGGGTAACCAGCTGCATCTGACTAGCGGGGTACACACTCTACCCTGGAGGGACCTCTCGCCCTGGCCAATGCACGGCCCCTGCCCCGAACCAAGGACCCCTCTCATAAGCACTTAAGATCAATCAGGAAGAAGCCTTTTTCCAGCAGTGACTGAGAAAGCTCTCCCTTTCCATTCTCCCCAGAAGGAGGACAGCACAGGAGGGCTCAGGAGGTAAATTCACAGCTTCTCTAACCCAGGAAGTCTCCTGTGCTTTCCAGAAGGTGTGCAGCACAGCACTGGGCTGCAAGCCACTAACAAGCCAGCCCCACAAAGCCAAGGCAGCCTGGGCCCTCTGTTTCATGACGTCACAGCGAAGGGGGAGCAAATGCTCTGCCCACCACTTGGCGCTTCCCTGCAAGGAGGGAAGGTGAAGACTCTGAAACCCTCTGAGCGAGAAAGAAGGGCTGCCGTGGACAGAACACGGTGAACCTGCTCACAGCTTCGAGCTGAGGGTGTGTGCCATCCTCTTCCTACACAAAGCGACGGACAAATGCATTTTGTGTAAAATACTCCTGTGCAGCAAGCAAACAGGAAGTAAAAATAAGAGGGAATACAGCAAAATCAAAGGCGGGAGACAAATCAGTTGCATGGCTCTCTCTACCATTTTCAAAGGCAGGGCCTTGCTTCCAGGTGGGAAGGGAGGTTGTCGCTGTCAGCTGACACATCCGGGTCTCCATCCCTGGGACCTTGGGGGCCTGGCCTGCTTGCTCCCTGGTCACTCAGCCCAGCAGGACCCCAAGTGCCCGTCAGAATATAAAGGCATTTGCTCTCACTAACACTACTAGTGTGTGTGTGTGTTTATCTGTCTGTCCAGCCATTCCTCCCCTAGGATGCGTATTTCCAGGGAGCAGAGACCATTCATCACGGCTTAGCTCAGCACACCGCCTTCAGTAGAAGGCCAACGGGAAAACTGTAGACCCTGTCCACCAATATGCATTCCAAGCAGAACTGGGAGACACCTGACAGTCCCACACAGGGAGCATCACCTGAGGCTGCTCTTGTCCAGAGCCGCTCTGCTTGATGAAACCCCAAACCTCACACCCCTCTCCTCCAGCTTCCTTCCTGTCTGCTATCAGCTGGCCTGAAAACATCAGTCCTCTGCAAAGACCTGCATCACTTGTCGTTGAGAAAGCCCACAGTCACTGATGACATTTTTTCTCTGCCAGGTGGTGAACCCCTCTCCTCCTGCCATCTAGACAGTCCCTCTGATCTATTCAAGTGTCTAATAAGCACCTACTGTGTGCCCAACACACACTGGGCACTGCAGACACAGAGCAAACAATCATTATAGCCCCACCAGGGACTTAGCTTCTGTCCCACGAGTCAAACACTAAACCCATGGTCTCAGTGAAATATGCAACTCTTAAGAGCTTTCTAAGGAAAAGTCCAGGGCACTGCATAACCCCAAGACTGCGATCCTGGAGGTCACAGAGGCTCTCCCGAAGAAGGGACATCCAAAGAGATCGGAAGATGAGTCAACACTAAGCAAGAGGCGTGCAGACCTGTGCCCACCCGGGTGCTGGACGGCCTGAGCCACGGCGGGAGAGGCATGAGAGGAGGCTGGGAGGGCGGCAGGGTCCCAAGGTGGGAACTGCTCCATCTGAAGGAGTGGGGAGGCTGGAAAGACAAGCAAGTACCAGGGTCCCACTTGACAGTACTCTGGGGGCCGTGTGGGACTGGGCAGGTGGGGGGAGGGGGAGTTCCGAGCCAAGTGAGGATCCCAGCAGAGAAGCCACGACAGGAACCCAGGCAGCAGCACAGAGGTGCAGGTGGAGGGACCCGTGTGGCGGTCAAACCAGAACCTGAAGGGGGGGGGCGGTGCTCACAGAGACGGGGACGGTTGTGGGCACGACCAAGGGCAGGTGCGGGGATACCACTCCCTGAGCCGGAGAACCCTGCACCCTGGCCACGTCCTGAATGGTGAGAAAGAAGAGCACCCTGAACTAGGCGCTGAATTCCCAACACTAAAGCTCACAGAGGACGCCAGAGGCCAGAGACCACGAAAAGCCCAGAGTGCACCGTGTGGTCAGTGGCACAAAATGCAGCCCAGAGAACAGGGCACCAGGGCGGTGTCTGCAGCACAGAGCAGACAGGGGGACACCGCAGACCCCAGCGAGTGCACCCGGTAAAGCCGGGGCTGGGAGCGGGGGCAACGCTGACGGGAGAAGGACAAAGAAGGAACAGAAAGTGAAGGTCAGAGGGAGGAGGCATAAGCTACTCTGCTGAGAAACTGGGAGTAGAGAAAGCGTCAGTAACAAAAACAGATGTATGATCTAAGGTAGACTGTTTCAAGCGTGGTATTTTCCTTTTCTTTCCTTTTCTATTTTTTCCTTTCTGTTTCTTTTCAAGACTTAAAACTCCAAATCATAAGAGGGAGAGTTTGAAGGAAGAGAAGAGAAGCATAACCAATAAAAAGAAGTCCCTAAAGAGATGTCAAGAGGTGACACCAAAACAGGGGCCCATGTATCATTGCTCAGAATGTGCACTGCAGGGGCGCCTGGATGGCTCAGTCAGTTGAGCGTCTGCCTTCAGCTCAGGGCCCTGGGATCAAGCCCTGCGTCGGGCTCCCTGCTCCGTGGGGAGCCTGCTTCTCCCTCTCCTCCCTGCCTGTGCTCTCTCTCTCACGCTATCTCTGTATGTCTCTCTCTGAAATAAATAAAATAAAAAACTTAAAAAAAAAAAAGAACATGCCCTGCAACAAGGCCCTGGCAAAAAAGGCAAGTGGGAGCTAAACCCAGCCCACACTCTGCTCACCAAGCCATGTGCCCAGGCACTGCTTGCGTCTCACTCAACCAGAGGACGGGCACCCTCTTTCTAATTCACACAAAAGCACCACAGGCCGGTGTTGCTCTGGACCTGTGGGAGAGGTCCCTTGTTGAGCCAGGCACCTAACCCACGGCTGCATCCTCCAGTAGAGCAGACCACATGAAAGGAACACCCACGGGAATACAAGGGGAGATGATCACGGCAGGTGACATGGACGCACGAGATCCCTACTGGGGACACCAGGGTGCCGCGGGCGGGCTCCCAAATTTCACTCAGGTCCCAAAACCTGCCAAAGGAATGAAGGTCCCCAGAACGAATGTGACTCAGAAGACATTTTTCAAGGACCTGCAGGACGTTGGGAGGTGATCATTTACAGAGGTCAGAGGCAGAGAAATGTTTAATAACACCATTCGAAACTCCTGCGGCCTTTCAAACACCTTTTCTTTCTCACAAATACCAGCTTGCTCAACGATCTTTGTTCATAAACGAGTAACTTAATGACACAATTCAATTTGTTATAACACGATTTAAACACAGAGATTAAGCTCTCCTGATTACATTGGGTTTAAAACACTTTCCTCAAAGGAGAAAATGAGGCCAATTTTCAAAGAAAAAGTGCATTTTAGGTTGACTTTTGTTTAACCAGAGGAGCTAAAAACAAAAGAGATTAGCATACAATCTATGTCAAACAATAGGAACAGATGTCCAGGGCTGTCTGAGGCCTCGCTGTCCACATTAAACATCTAGAACCTCTGGCTGCAGGGTTCGGGATAATTTGGGCTAAACATAAAAAATGTCAATTGTGACAAATAAACATGTGGACGTCAACCTAAAATGGGCCAAAGCCCAGAGAGGAGCTCAGAACAGATGAGCGTGGGAAGCTTCCTGGTTCTCTGTGAAGACTGCCGGACTCCCTGTCCCTCCCGCCAACCCCCCCCATCCCTCCCGCCACCCCGCACCCTTCACCACTGCCTAACGGGCACACAGACATCGGGGCAGCCCAGGTCACCACCGCTGAAAACACGGAGCTCCACGGGGCAAACCCACACGCCTTGCAGCTCTCTCTCGGGTCTCCCTGGAATGCACAGAAGCAGGCTTGCCAGTGAGCCCCAGAGAAACGTTCACTTTAGCGTCAAGGACAAAAAAACCAGCCAGCGACATTGCCCAGGGGCACTTCAGTTCAGGAAGGCACCTGTAGTCCCCTTGAAAAAAAAATGTTCTTGTCTCTTAGTTCTCACTGTGACCTGGAAACACCTGTCCTCCTCGACTTCCAGGAATTGGGCCCCCCGGTATCAGCTCTGGTGACACAGATTTGCACCCCGACACCAGTGAGCCTGGCAGAAGAGGCAGGCTCTGGGTCCTCCTGCTGGCCTGACACCAATCTCCACTTCTGTGTGACTCTGTGATAGAAGTTTCTCAAAATCTGATGGCTCTGCAAGAGAAACTCAATCCAACGGGAGCCTGGGGTCTGGGGACTGGTGCTCCCAGTCTGAGGATGGCTCCAATCAAAACAGCTTTAATTGGAGCTCCCTGTGGTTTTTAATTAAAGTGCAAATCAGGGAGCTGGTAATTGATGAGAAGGTAGGTCCTGGGTCAGCTTAAACTGCTCTGTCTACAGAGGCCACGGTTCATTAACGCTTTAGTTGGGGTTTTTGTTTTGTTGTTTGCCAGGGAGGGGGCTGGCTGGTTCACACCAAAGAAAGCCAAAGGTTTCTCACTCCTCCAGAACATTCTTCAAACTCAATTCATACTCTCCTTTATAACAATGGGAAACGAGTCAAGAGAATCGTTTCTTAAAAGGCTAGGGACATAAGGTAACTAGACAATGAAAGAAGGTCTATCCACTTAAGCTCTACTGAGTTTGTGACAAGTCTGCATCTAACCAAGGACTGAAGAGTGGGTTGTCCCACCGATGCTAAGAGCAGCCTTAGGTGGGAGAAGTTCTGAAGGTGACTTCCCCTTGAGCCGGAGGCAAGCCCTCCGTAAACAGCTGTTTTCTGGCAATGGTCCTGGCCAGCCCGAGTGCCAGCTGTCCCCAGCCCAGGGTGATTGATTCATTGCCTCTGCCAACAGAAGGTCAGCTGCTGGGAAACCTGTCAGCGTGGGATTAAAAACGATGAGTGCGAGACATGGAGTCAGGAGGAAAAATCCCTTCCATTACAAAACTGAAGAGAGATCCGTCTCCAAAACGAAGCCACAGCCTCGGGGGCGGGGGGGGGCAGTGGGATGAAGGGGAGCCCCAGGAAACCACGTGCCAGGACTGAGCATGCAACATGGGCACAGAAGGGAGAGTCAAGGGCGCACGTGGAGCTGGGCTGTGTCGGGTGTCTCCACGTTTCTCTGAGCAGCAAAGAGGAAGTAACAGACGGTGGACAGTAACTGTATTCTCTTGTAAAATCCTTCAAGTGCTTTCAAAAATGGCTAGGAGGAGAGGGGAGGGCTGGAGAAGACTCAGGAAGGCAAACAAACAACTTGCTTCCAAGTCTCATAAACTCTGGGCTCTTTGCAAACATTTCATTGTGTCCCACTCAGCCTTCCCCGCTCACCCAGGAGGTTGGCTCTCAGCAATGCTTACAAGGGAGACCAGCAAGAAAACCTCCATACACTGTACATACACTGTACACGTAGATCATGACCCAACACTGCCCGCATCACCATCCCCATCAGCAGCATCACCACCACCACCATCCTCATTCTCGTCATCACTGTCATCATCATCATCACCAACATCATCACCATGAGCCCCATCACCAACATCACCACCACCACCATCATCGCCATCCTCATCACCATCACCACCACCATCATCATCATCGTCAAACTAAAATGTAAACCATACAGCACTGTCCCAAGTTCATGTAATAGGTGAACATCTGTAGCAATAAAACAAAAGAATACATACCCTGGCCCTTGTGGTTGACTTCTTTGGCAGCAATGACTTTGTTTATAACAGTCTGAAGGAAGTCATTCTCCCCCGCCACCCTGGGTGAAAAACGGGATGACATGTTCAGCGGCTTGTGTCGAATGGCGTCGTCCAACGCGAGCCTGGAGGGCACGGGACGACCAAGACCACAGGAGACAAAGGGGCACAGAGACCCAGAGGTCACGGTAACAAGGGAACACAAGAGATCATCGTCACCGAATGCGAGAGAGTCATCATGAGTCAACGCACGACAAAGGACGGGATAGGTGACAAGAGAGACAGGGAAGAGCGTTGATCAGGAAAATGCTGAACCACACGAGAGAAGTAAAGCAAACGAGGTCGACCCTATCCCCAGGAAATAAACATGCACCAAGCCTCCACTCCATTTCTACCACATAATAAAAAAGGGCACTTATCTGAAAATAATGTGGTTGGACAGCATTTAATCGCAAGGAATGTTTACCTCTGTTTCTTCCATTTCAATAATTCCTGGCCATGGCATAGGTCAAGGGGCAGGTGGTGCAAAGGGAAAAGCAAAATCAAGACCAAAAAAAGATCCCTACAACCTAATTGCTTGGGGAACTTGGGTGGCGACCACTCTACTCCATCAGACTGTGTACCCAACGTGGCCTCAGATAATTAAGTGTGAGAAGAATGGCACAGTCTTTGGAGAAGATAACTACCATGTCTGAAAGGTGAAACTATGACCCAATTATGAATGTAACCATCAACATTTGGGGATCCCGTGGACCATGAATTTTTCATAGAAGCTACACTAAGACCAAGAAATAAGTACAAACAGGCAACATGTGCAAAGAGAAATACCATGTAGCACAGCAAAGCACAGTATGCAATGAGCAAGAAAATGTACGTCAAGTACATAATGTTTAAAATCATTTCCAGTACCAAGGACAAGAGTTATTCATCACATGAGCCCACATTACTCAAGAGAGCTGAGGGCTGTTTTAATTTACTTCACCAAGTTAAAAAAGACCGAAAGAAAAAGATGTACTCTTGTTTCCTTCCCTAAAACTTATCCTGTGATATAATAAATCAGTTTTAATGGAGCAAAAAACGGTTTCATTAGCATGGCATTTCCCAAAGAACTGGTTTCATTGCTTATTTTGCTATTAAAATCATGCTGCTCTTTTGTTTCAAACACTGGAAATATTAATCTGTATATTAGTCTTCTTTTAATGGAGCAAGGAATCACAAATTACAATAAGAGCTGAACATGTAATAATTATTTTTTTAAAATGGGTGTTTTGCTATAAGACAGAAAAAGATGGCGGCAATATGCTATCTCAGGCAGCTCCTAACATGTCCCAGTGAAATTTAAGACTAGTGAATCTAAAACTAATAACCCCCCTAACTTTTCAAACAATAACCCACAGGCTTTTTTTTTCCTTGACTTTTCCCAGAAGATACTAGCAGGCAACAGGTAATTTCAACTCAGTGGTACATTAGGGCATCAAGAAACTCTGAGGTCTAATATATAAAACAGCATTCAAAACAGCACGGGGCTGCATTATTTCTCACGGGCAAAAGAAGCAACTTAATATTATCATTTTATAAGGGTATATTTTATTTATTACCTCAATATCTGCCCATGTTCAAAGACATGTTTCCTTTGTTTACTGAGTGAGCTCCCTTTGTAACTATCTTCACAGGGTGTGATTCCAAGACAGCGCCATCCAACAGGACGCGTTCTGCGATGATGGGAATGTTCTAGATCCGCACTGACAAATATGGTAGCCACCAGCTACCTGTGGGACTAAACACTTTAAATGGGACTAGTGTAACTGAGGAACTAAGTATTTAATTTTATTTAACTGTCAATAATTTACATAGCTACATGTAGCTCGTGGTTACCATATTAGACAGAAGGCAGAAGAGCAACTCTAACAGAATGAAGCTAGAAAAGACCTGTGCCTCCAGTTGTGTGTGGTGAGATACCCACTTCACGCTGGTTAATGCAGAGTTTTCTGTTATTCTCATGTTGGGAAGACTACAAAAATTTCCACTGAGCCATGTTTTAGGACGCTATCTGACTAGATCACCTTGCCTGCAAAGAAAACCACTCTAATCCCATCCTGAACAAGGGGTTCTCAAGCCTGGGGCTGAGTATGGGGATCCCTCATGCAAGAATGGGTGGTACAAAGGGAAGCCAAGCTCATAGCTCTTGCCCACCTTACCCCCAGAGAGACTCCTTCAGCTACCCGCTGAGTATCACCAGTCTCCAAGCCTCCTCAGCCAACACCTGAACCCAAGGTACAATTCCTAAATTTTGTTTCAAGCCTGGAACCACTTAAGTAAAAACAGAAATGAGAAGAGGCAGAAGGCAGAGCACTCCGACAGGTCATTCTAACATGCCTTATGGTCTCCTCTTCTAAGATTTCACACCCCCAGGAGGAAACTGTCACTTCTGATTAACCTAAACCACTCTAATCCCTCTTTCTTTCTCTCCACGGCTGTCTGAGATGGAGAAGTGCCCGGTGAAGTGGCCACAGACCATTATGCAGGTACTCTCTTGCTTTAATCTCCAAGGAAATAACCGATTCTTTCGACCTTTTCCATGGGATCTACCTTCCAATCAGAGAATCAATTTAACAAATCTCCTCCAAATGTTTTCCAAGCTTCCCACATCTCTCCACACACTTAGCTTCAGAACTAGATAGGCCCTAAGAATGGCAAGCACAGACCCAGTCCACTCTAGGCAACCAGAGACAGAAAATCAGCAGCATGATTATTTGCTTCAAGCATTATTTCTCGCCTTACAAAAGAATTCATCATTATTTTGTTTGGTTTTCTATTTTAAAAGGAGCAACCTCCTCCTGTGATGAATTTGAAAGTACTGTATTTTGAGTATGTGAATAGCTACTAGAATGCATCAATGATGCAAGGAAACATGCATGCTCAAAGTAGAAGGGTATTTCTGCGTGTCCTTGATGATAAGGTGACTCCCCTGAATCACACGGAAAATCTTCTACATGCAAGACCATAAAGCAACTTTAACCCAAGATTCTTGGGGTTACAAAAATGCCATGCACTACGGCAATGACTACCCAGATTCTTCATTATTATAAAAGAATCAATCTCTACTTGTGCTGAATTTATAAACTTATTTTCGAAGAGAATTATTACACACGTTTTCCATATTCTATCTGGTTAAGTGCTCTCTCTGATGGCTCCATACTTACGGCTGAAAGGGGATGAAATGCTGCTTGTCTTCATCATCTACTTTCCCATTTATTATATCTGTTACATCCATCACTGGGGACAAGAAAAGAACATTGTTTTGTTTAAGTGCTATAACCAGAGAAAACAAACAGAGGAACATCAGATTGTCTTCTGACAAACAGTGGCATAAACCACACAGTGGCATTTTTTTTTATATCTGAGTTTAAAGCATTTCCACGTTCAAAAGAAAAATGGAGTTATCTGAAAACACTGGCCCAAATGGGGGTGGGGTTAAAATGGCAGAGTTCCACTTAGTAAATTCCTTTGCCTTGGGGCGCCAGGGGGCTCAGTCAGTTAAGCGTCTGCCTTGGGCTCAGGTCATGATCCCAGGGTCCTGGGACCAAATCCCACAACAGGCTCCCTGCTCAGTGGGGAACCTGCTTCTCCCTCTCCCTCTGCCTCTCCCCCACTTGTACTCTCTCTCTCTCAAATAAAATTTTTTTAATTTAAAATAATTTTTAAAACAAATTAAATAAATAAGTAAATAGATAAATTCATTCATTCATTCATTCATTCATTCCTTTGCCTAGGATGCAACAGACACTCTGGAGCTGCACTGCCCAACAGCACATCGTGTGATGATGAGATGTTCTAGAACCACAAGCACCTGAAATGTGGTGGTGGAACAGAATTTTTCCTTTGATTTCATTCATTTACATAATTGTCACCTGTGGCCAGGGCCAACCACATTGGTTGGCCCTGCTCTCGGGCATCCAAAAGTTCTCGAATTCCCCCAAATGACATCACAATGGTAAAGTCGCTGCCCTCCACCCACCCACCCCGTGCCCACATCTGTGGCTGCTCTTTCAAGGGGCACTGGACAGCGAATCCTCACAATCATCTCCCACACAACTGAGGAAATTCAGGCTCAAGGACACTATCGAATGACCTTGCCCAAAGTGAGATAGCCAGAAAATCTCCGATGCTCAAGCTCTGACCACACAGCCAGAGACCCCCAAGAAGAAGAGCCCTGGACACTCGGCTCTCTCTGCTCAATCGACACCCTTGACCAAAGAGAGGTGAGCCACATGCCTGCCTCTCTCTTCATGGTGCCTTCCTTGGTGACCACAGTCATATACTGAAAATGTGGACAATTTCCATTTCTACCACCTGCCCCCCAAGAAAGGGGGACGACTTTCTAAGAACAAAAGAGACGCAATGCCACCTCCTGGTTCATTCTGTGGAGTCCACGGAGACTCCTGAACCTCCTGAGCGTGTCCCGAAGGAGAACATGGCCCCACACATTCTGCTAAACCAGTGCTCCTCACAGAGCGAAGAGCCTTATGCGTACGTTTAGAGATGCAGGTCAAAGAAGCACAAATGAATTGGAACCATCAGGTTGTGGGTGTTCTGAAATGTATGGCCTGGGCTGCAGTCTCCACCTCCTAGAAGATGCTCCCAGCTTTAAGCCTTCTTGGAGGCCACTGATCGGCACTAGATGAACCTATCATTAAGATGCTCCCATGCCCAAGACCACACTTCTACCACCAGTTTGGAAAGACGTGGCTCTGGGCCATGGCAAGAGGAGTCTGAGCCTCGGCACCACCTGCTGCCGGCAATCCACAATGGACCGCCTGCCTGTGTGTCTGCACACCTCTCCCCTTGGTCGGGGGGCTGATCCCGCCAGGTCAGTGCATCTCCCTGGTCGTACAACCCCGGTATCTGGCCTTGGGAACACATCGGGAACCCAGCCAAGTCTCGCAGGAAGGCAGCGAGGGAGCAAGGATTGCAAATCGCATCCAAGCACCAGTCAGAAGGCAGCCTTTGTCCTCTAGGTCCCGGAAGTGACAGCCCTCCCAGGGCCCCTCCCAAGCCTGGGAGGTGAAGGCCATGACAATGTGACCAGCGTTCACGGGATGTCTCCCTCACGGCTGCTCGTCAGCACGCTGCCCTGTGCCAAGGAAGTTCTTGCTGTGGTTGGGACTCTGGCACAAGCCCAGCTACACGGAATCAGGAATGACGTATGTTTTAATCACGCTTTTTGTTTTTTTCATAATTTTTATATCCCCACTGTTACACTGTATTAGAAGAGAAATGGGACATAATATTTTCCACAGAAGGCTGAGAACTGTAGGCTTAAAGGTCCACGAACACACTGTTCATCTGCACTCTGTTGACACAAACAGGCAGAAGTTATTCTGGATAAAACCTCCAAATTAAGTTCCTATTCCCCAAGGGGCAGAAGCTGATTACCAAAAAGGTGATCAACCGTCTGAGGCCGAGAAGTGTACTTTCCGAACCAGAAAGAGAACAGCAGGTGGGAAGCCGCCCTGAGTAGAGTAGAGGCTCGCACTACTTCAGGATGGCCCCACTGGGCATGCTCAACGCCACGTGTAACCCAAGGAGGAAAGGCAGTCTGACGGCAGCGTCCCGCCAGGTGCCGCATGGCCCACAGTGGCTCACAGGTGATGTTGGTTAAAGCAGCAATTCTAATTTAATTGGCAGGCTGTGGGACCTGGGCAAGAATATATTTTTTAATAGTTCCCTAAACCCTTCTCGTGTACAGTTAGGGTCAGAAATCACTGTATTAAAATATTTACCTTCTGCACCAAAAACATATAGCTTCCTTCACCTTCCCCCAGCAGACCTGGGGGACACTCTCACCTACCCCCAGCAGACTGGGGGGACACCTTCACCTTCCCCCAGACGACTGGGGGACACATTCACCTTCCCCCAGCAGACTGGGGGGACACCTTCACCTTCCCCCAGAAGACTGGGGGACACCTTCACCTTCCCCCCAGCAGACTGGGGGACACCTTCACCTTCCCCCAGCAGACTGGGGGGACACCTTCACCTTCCCCAGGAAGACTGGGGGACACATTCACCTTCCCCCAGCAGACTGGGGACACCTTCACCTTCCCCCAGCAGACTGGGGACACCTTCACCTTTCTCCAGCAGACTGGGGACACCTTCACCTTCCCCCAGCAGACTGGGGACAGCTTCACCTTTCCCCAGCAGACTGGGGACACCTTCACCTTCCCCCAGCAGACTGGGGGGACACCTTCACCTTCCCCCAGCAGACTGGGGACACCTTCACCTTCCCCCAGCAGACTGGGGACACCTTCACCTTCCCCCAGCAGACTGGGGGGACACCTTCACCTTCTCCCAGCAGACTGGGGACACCTTCACCTTCCCCCAGCAGACTGGGGACACCTTCACCTTTCTCCAGCAGACTGGGGACACCTTCACCTTTCTCCCCAGCAGACTGGGGACACCTTCACCTTCCCCCAGCAGACTGGGGGGACACCTTCACCTTTCCCCAGCAGACTGGGGGGACACCTTCACCTTCCCCCAGCAGACTGGGGGGACACCTTCACCTTCCCCCAGCAGACTGGGGTGACACTCTCACCTTCCCCCAGCAGACTGAGGGGCACCTTCACCTTTCTCCAGCAGACTGGGGACACCTTCACCTTTCTCCAACAGACTGGGGACACCTTCACCTTCTCCCAGCAGACTGGGGACACCTTCACCTTTCCCCACCAGACTGGGGACACCTTCACCTTTCTCCAGCAGAATGGGGACACCTTCACCTTCTCCCAGCAGACTGGGGACACCTTCACCTTCCCCCAGCAGACTGGGGACACCTTTACCTTTCTCCAGCAGGCTGGGAACACCTTCACTTTCCCCAAGCAGATGTGACTAATCTCTCCCTTTTCTTGAGCTGTTACCAAAATAACAGAACACAAATATGGAGGACAAATGGCAGCTATTTGATGATAACCGTGTCCTCCTCACGCTCCGTTCTCCTTCTACCTCTTCATCACTTTGACTATTCAGTGCAAATTTACTCCTAAATCAATCAATCACCAAGTCCAGAAACCCTAAAAACTTCCAGTGACTGACTTTCCTCCGGGCTGAGAATGTGGGTCAGGGTCTCCCTCAGGAGATGTGATCTGCTTGAAAACCAAATATATGATTTATATCTGAAACTTGCAGACTGAAGCATCCTGGGCTGCACGTCCACAGAAACCACACAGAAAAGAATGAAGAGATTTTTTTTCTAACAGAAGAGCTTATAACTCAAAGCAGCCCACTGTCCAATACTCAGCAGCAGCTCCTATACAGAGTGAATGTGATGATCTTGAAACTCTCAGGAAAAGGAGAGAAATGCATTACCGGCCACTCCGAAAGGCCTCCGCAAGCCCGAGGTCAGTTTTCTGGTGTTGTTGTCCCTCAGCTCCATGCGACCCACTCGAACGATTTGACAAACAAAACTGATTTTGTCCCTTTTCAGGTCTTTGCTTCCGAGGTCCTAGAAATATTAATTTCCATAAATTATTTTGGAGAACCATTACTCGCTGCAGGTTCAATTGAAAAAGGCAGTAAAAAGAAGGATTGAGACTCTCTTCTCCGACCAGTTTTTAGCATATTAATAAGTTATTCACATAACAAAAAGGAACTGAATAACAATAGTCAATTAATGTTAAGGTATTTGAGAGTGCTGGGGTAAATCTCTGTCATGGGGATTCGAAGGGAAGCTAGAGACCCAGAACAGTTCTGGGAAGACATTTTGTTATTACTGAATTCCCATGGATTGCAGGATCCATATTCCAGCGGGTAGGAAAGTCAGAGGGAGGTCATTAAAAATAATCATTAGGATGGTGAATGATGCAAAGGAACTCCTTTGGGTGTACTTACAGTAAAGACAGCTCGCAAATTATGTAATCTGTCTATGTCTTTAGGCAATCCTGAACTTGACCAGCGAACCAGGTAGTTTTCACTTGAAAACAAAAGAAATAAGAGCAAATTCATTTTCCAAATACAGCACAGCACAAAACAGACACCCACATTGATTTATGATTACCACCACGGAGGTCCACGATGCAGGCAACCACATGAGCTCAGAAATGTCAGCCATGCCACATAGAGTTGCTCTTCCATTAACATGTAAGTCATCTCCCACACAAGGTTAACAGTTGAGAACGGTCAGTACAAAACCCTTGAGAGGTTGTCATTTGGGATGTCTAGGGTTACAATTGTAGTGGAACTATTTGCAAATGTCACTTCAAAGTTTATTATTTTAAAAGCATTACTGGTGTATTTAGACTGCCTAAAATCTTAAATTCACCATTCATTCATTTATAGTATAAAAGAAATGCCGCACGTCTATTTCATAGCCTATAACAACCAAATATGCCAAATACACAAATTGAATCCTAAGAGGAAGAAATGAAGTCCATATCAGAAATGATGAGGGGCGCCTGGGTGACTCAGTCATTAAGTGTCTGCCTTCGGCTCAGGTCATGATCCCAGGGTCCTGGGATCGAGCCCCACATTGGGCTCCCTGCTCCGCGGGAAGCCTGCTTCTCCCTCTCCCACTCCCCCTGCTTGTGGTTCCTTCTCTCGCTTGTCTCTCCCTGTCAAATAAATAAATAAAATCTTTAAAAAAAAAAAAAAAGGAAAGAAAGAAATGAGGATGAAATTCATCCATTTGTTCTGTTTTCTGTCACATACTAACTTTTAAATTTTTGCATAATACAGGGGCACCTGGGTGGCTCAGTAGGTTAAGCATCTGACTCCTGATTTTGGCTTAGGTCAAGATCCCAAGGTCATGAGATCGAGCCTCACATCAGGCTACGTGCTGAGAGTGGAGTCTGCTAAGATTCTCTCTCTCTCTCTCTCTCTGCCCTTCCCCCACCTCGAATGCACATGTGCTCTCTTAAAAAAAAAAAATTGAATACAAACGAAGGTATTTCAGTTTTAAACGCATACACACACCCAGACACACACACATACACACTTCACACATAATTTAAACCTTAATTTTTCCATCTGGACAAAGAGAAACTTATACTGAGACAAAAGCAAGAACTAGGAAAGAGACCACATTACAAATGACAGGAATGGCAGAGAACGAGATTTATAATATTTTGTTCAACAAGTATTAAGTGAGAGCCTTTATGTAGCAGGCACTGGTCTAGACACTACCTTCCAGCCAGTCGTGTTGCAGAAATAACAACAGGCCAAAGGACCGAAAATGACATTGACAAAAAACAAAAGTTTGGCAAAGCAAGATTAAGACAAGAGTGATACTATTTGGAGGGGTCTGGAAACATAAAACCCTATGAAGACAACACAGGAAACAATTAGTTCAATCTTTAGTCGCCAGGTCCCTAAAACATTACAAGACCAAAACTCTACATTCAAATACCCACGTGCGTGCAAGGAAGAAGAAAGCAGACACTGGCCCAGATCCCGAAACAGCACTGGGTTCAGCTCATCACCCCAATGCTCTCTGTGAGAGCAAGAACTGCCGTGGTGCTAGCGCTGTTCTCCTAACACTAACCAGAGAGGAAAGGGCGGAGGAAGCAGGGAAGCGCCACTGACCTGATGAATTTGGACTCCACAGGGTCATAAAGAGACATGAGCACTTCGGCATCTTCTCCGATTTTACAAACCACATTTTTGAGGTTGACAAACAAGGCCAGAGAAGGGGTGGCAGCAAACTTCGCTTGTCTGTTAATGTCTATGTTCTGCTTTTGGGACTATGTAAGTAGAAAAAAAACAGAGTGGACATTAGCGATATTTACCACTAACCCTCGCTTGCTTTCTTCTCGAAAGAAGAGGAAACTATGTGCAACCAGTTGGCATAACACAGCAAAGCCTCAAGTCACTTCCTTGTCCCATGTCAAGTTCTCAACACATGCAGGCACCCAACTGAAAGTAATTATGTCCTCTGCAAAGGTCACAATCCCTTAAGAGTTTGTCCTGAGTCCTGTCTTCAGATACTCGAGTGTCTACGCAATCACAATGGTGTTTACATGCATACTTGCTTAGTTTTTGTTTCTGCATTAGGCTAAATCCTCCAAGGACATTTCCGTCTTACTCATCCTTATGTCCTCAGTAGGTGGCACACAGCAGGTGCCCAATAAAGACTTGCTGAATGAATGGCTGACTCAATGAATTGATTTCTGAATATCTGCTATACAGAAGATCCCATTAAAGACCAGGGAAGATGGGGCGCCTGGGTGGCTCAGTCGTTAGGCGTCTGCCTTCGGCTCAGGTCATGATCCCAGGGTCCTGGGATCGAGCCCCACATCGGGCTCCCTGCTCAGCGGGAAGCCTGCTTCTCCCTCTCCCACTCCCCCTGCTTGTGTTCCCTCTCTCGCTGTGTCTCTCTCTGTCAAATAAAATAAAATAAAATAAATAAAATAAAATAAGACCAGGGAAGATGAAAAAGACCAATGAGACTTGTGTTCCCTACCCTCATCAAGCTTAGAATATGTCCCTCCCTAGGCTCCTATCAAAGGAAATGCAGAATCAAGTACTGTTTCCCATGACATGAGAACACAAAGTCAGTGTCATTAAGACCCTGCGTCCTACAATGAAGTAAGTACTGCGTGACCCTCCCCCCACACAGGATGAGCTCCTTTCCAAAGTCCTCAACAGCAAGTTCTGACACTGGGCTCCCTTCCGTTCTTCACCGTATGAAATACACAGTTTAGCTGTGCTTTTTTGGGGTTTTCGAGTGCAAATTCTGAGTTCCACTGGTGTTTTGCTAGTGTTGAAAGCAGTTATTGAGAAAAGATACCCTAAAGGTAAATGGAGAGCAGACCTTACCTTCTCTTCTTGCAATCTCTCCTCCACTTGTTTAGAAGCTATCTCATGAGCTCTAAAGAGACTAATCGTGCTAGTTAGTTCTGGATCCAAAATGTTCCCGTCTTCATCTCTCACCACCAAGTCCAGATCAAGAATTCTACAACAACAAAAATTCAGAACTTCATGGACACACACCACGGCCTTTGAAGGTGTGTGTTACTAACTACGATGTGAACGGCATGGAGAGTTGAAAGCACACACCTACTGTATATGTTTGGGGGAAGGGTATATATATATATACATACATATATATAAACACACACACACACACACACACACACACGCAATGACATACAAACACACGTGCCCAAATACTTAAAACTGGTAGCTGTGACATCATCACTGAACTGGGCAGAACAGGGTGGAAGAGTCGGAGCAGAGGCATACCCACCATTCTATTCTGGTAAGTTTTATATCACACAGCTTTCCTTCTACCTACAGTCAGTTCTAATCCCCAATTAGCCCATCAGAAGATCTTCGATAAAGACATTCTATTGTGTTTCGATAACAAACATGTGGAAGTTATCCACAATAACATTAAGCAACTTTCTGGCCAGATGGCTAGATGAAGTAGCCAACTTAAAACACGAGCAGCATCTGTAATAGATCTGTCCATCTATATCTGGAAACGTCTTTTTGGCAACATTCTCTCTGTTTTCCCAAATCCAACAAAATTGTAAGGTGATTTTTAGCACAATTTTTATTTAAAGAATAAACAAAGACCATTATGCAAAGAAAGAAACCAGGAGCTGTGCTATGTGATGTGTTATGGTTTTCTTTTTAATAAGATACGAGGATCTTAACCACAGATGCCTTATACTTTGCCTTTGGGATTTTCTTCCTGCGATTAACAAGTCTATAGAAGCAGGAAATTTTCGGGGTTTTTTTAAACCATACGGCAACGTAAAGAGTCTGTTGAAAGAAAGATAAATTTCAATTAAATAATGCCTTTAACAGTTACAGTTTTAAGAGTAAAGTTGACTTGGTAATAAAGACTCCAACCAGACAAACTCATCTCTGATTTCTCTTCTCTGAAGGTCACACACCTTAACACTGGATAGGAGTCTGATACCGTGTCAAGCAGGACTATTCTGATAGATATGCTGGGCCATTGCACCATTTGGAAGGCGGTCACAAAGACCTTGTTTTTCCCTCTGAATATCTATTGAGCAAATCCACTGATGGTGAAGCAGAAGCAACATGTCAGCAACATGAGGCTTTCAAACAAATACAGGCTTTTCGCTCTGCATGAAAACAGCCTCAGTAGTTGCAATGATTGTGGGGTGCCTCGAGAGGGCAGAAAGATATTTAAAAAAAAAAAAAAAGGCTTTCGGGCTCTCATCAATTGTCTTTGTAACATGTTTCACTAATGAGGTAAAGCCCCTCTCCCAAATATTACTGCTCATCCAAACCCTGAACCTGTCCCTGGGAGGAGTCAGTGCTGGTATAGGTGGGGGTCAATGCTGGTGTGGGTGAAGTCAATGCTAATGAGTTAGGGAGAGAATCCTTTCTTGCATGGGCAGAGCCAGTGCTGGTTTAAGTTGATCTACAAAGTACCTGGCTTTAGAAGGAGGGGCCAGAGGTCCTGGATGCCACACCACCTCAGGCTCCCTGAGGAGCCGAGGCCCAGGCTGTATGTACCAGCCTGCTGCATACATCCTGCCAGGTGCACCTCCCCCTCACTCCTTCCAGGACAGGTGGTCAGATCCATTTCGCAAAAGAAGAAACCTAAGCTCAGAGACACATCTAGAAGAACCCAGAGCCTGGATTCTGAGCCAGAACCCTCTCATGGCAGAGTCGAGGCTCTTTCCAGAATGTTACATGGAAAATGGTACAGGGAGTCACCTGTCAGGGGTCTTCTTCATGCCAACCATTCTGCATTTTCTCAGCAACAGTGCTCATAAGGCTCTGAATCCACAGTGAGCTTCCACTATGAAGGTAGATCTTAGCACAGCAAGAGGGCCAAAGACTGTCCTATTAAGGACTGTATTTCCAACAAAAGTAGTGAAAAATGTTTTGGAACACTTCCTTTCTTAACTAGATTGTTCCATGACATAATGTACTTTGGTTGCTTCCCACAGTCAAATTAAGCAGGTGGTTTCTGAATGGAAGTTTAAAATACAATACTCCAATAGAAAACAGAATCAAAGCTCCAAAGGTTTGGTTTTTTTTTAAGCAGGTCCTCATGAAATGGGTTTCCCTGCAACAATGTCTAATATCCTCCACACAGAAGTCTCTGACTTTTTGTGGGGGGGGGGGGGCGGGAAGAGACACCTTCTCCTGTAGCCTTTTTAATCCAAATACTACATCTAACTAATAATGTTGTTTTTAGAAACTCTTCACACTTGAAAGGATAAAGTACTAGAAAACAAAATTATGTTATAATTCTGATTTTACAGAAAGGTTCTTTAGTTTACCCAGGGCGCCTTTCAGCTGAACAGCTGGGGACAAACCTCTCCCATTCTCTGAGCATACTGTCCTAATGTGTAAAATGAGAGGTTCCGATTCTCCCAGAAGTTCCCCAATCTTCTATCCAGCATGGTCCAACCCTATTTTTAAAAACTGTGATTTCCAGCCAGCATTCCACATCTTAGAAACCAGAATCTTCAGGAGAGGGTCCCATAATTGCATATTTTGAAAGCTCTCTAAGTGATTCTGATACAGACCCAGCATGTGGGAATCATGTGACCAGATCATTTTTAAAGGCTTCTTGCAGCTCTGACATTACAGGAACAACCAAATAGTTATCCCATGGGAAAGGGTGTGGCCTCACTCCGGTTACAGACTTGGCAGAATCATAATGAAGCAGTTCGCTCCTGCTCAGCATCCGGACGCCTTGCGAACGGTAGAACGCACAGCACTGTGGGCAAGGGGGCGCACCACTGCTAAAGGCATGCAAGCAGAGCTGAGTGGAGGCCTGCTGTAGATGGGAACTTTTGCAAAAGACATCCTTACACAAAGCAAATTATTTGTTGTTTATCTGAGATTCAGATTTCTGGTGATAAGTTTCAAGGTGACCTTTGATGTCCCTTCCAACTCTTAGAACTTAGGATTCCACAAGGCAACCTGGTGCTTGTTAGTGCACAAAGTACGCCCATGTCTGGACTCGAAGTCAAGTACTGTGAGCAGAAAATAACTAAAAGTCCCTTGTCAGGGGAAATCACGGCAGTGTCACCTATGAAAGAGTGAAAATGACAGGTCACCCTGGCCCCAGCTTCTCGGAGACAAGAACAGGTTTCGACAATGACTGGGAAAACTCCTGATTTTTAGAATCCAATAGAAAATAACCTTATCCTTTTAAAAATGAAAACTATACCCTTATTTTGATGTTAGAAATTGTTTTATGATAAAATATGATTTTAACCTCCTCAAGGCTTATGGTAATGTTATTATACTGGGTAATTTAAGCATGAAATCATCTTTCAAATAAACAAACCTGTTTCCGTAATCAATTTTGGCAGTGACCTTCTTCTTCAGTTCTTTCAGCTCATCCTGTGGCAGAGTTCCAGAAAGAATCTGTGACCGCCATTCAATAAGGTCGTAGATCATGTGCCGCACACTGCGAAACATCTCCCTATTGTCTTGCTATATAGAGGGGAGAAAAGCCATGTATAAAGCTTTCGGTAGGAAAAAAACACTGTGGATTGTTTTTCAAATACACATGCAGTATATGCTTTATATGATGGGATTCAATCAATGTCAAAAGCATGAAACAGGAACACAATATGGAGCCTGTTTCGTATCAGGCCCTAAAAGATCAAAGGGATAAGAAGTAATACAAAATCCTCAATATTCCATCCAACGTTCCAGAGCATGCGTCCCTGAATGGAGAGGTTAACCAGAGCAGGATATGGATGTGGAGCCGCAAACCGAGCCCATGAACTTCTAGTACGTGGCCCATAGACGGGCTACCCTGAAACTCCCACAGAATAAGTGTGAGTCTAAAGATCTTGCCATGGAGAGCGCCTGGGTGGCTCAGTGGGTTAAGCGTCTGCCTTTGGCTCAGATCATGATCCCGGGGTCCTGGGATCGAGCCCCACATCGGGCTCCCTGCTCCGTGGGGAGTCTGCTTCTCCCTCTCCTTCTGCCTGCCTCTCTGCCTACTTGTGCTCTGTCAAATAAATAAATAAAAATCTTAAAAAAAAAAAAAAAAGACCTTGCCATGGAGTCTTCAATATTTTGAAAACTGTGCCCTGTGCCATTCTCAGCACACCAGGCAACTGACCGCCAGGGCGTGTTGGCAGCCAAGCTGCAGGGAACCCCACGCACTGTGCTTCATTCAGCGCATACAGAGCGGTTCTGCCAGGAGTAAAATCTGAATCTGCAAGCTCTCGGTGCATTTACATCAAGAGGAAAACACAAATTCACATTTTTATCACTTTCTACATATTTTGAAGGGGTTGATGGTACAAAAAAAAAAAGGCAACAGTTTTGCAACAGCCAAGAAATCAATTCATCAAGGAAATTAGGGATTGCCCCCTAACTCCTAAAAGAAGCCACCGGTTCCTTCCATGAAAAGACATCTAGGAGACACTTAATTTGATAAAATTCTAAACATGGTCCCTACATATATATTAAAACATGGCCATTGTTACTTTTTAAAATAACTTTTGCTCTACATATCTGACCCTCTCATCCCACTATTTCTAGTACGTGACCTTCTTTCTAGCAATTTCTAAGATCCCCACCACCACCCTGTCAGAGAACACCCCAGCAGACTAACCTGTACCGCACAAGCTCCTCTTTATAGTATCATCCTAATGTTAATTTCTTAAAAAACAACGAAATGGTCAAAAGTAATGGTTTATTCCACAACTAGGTTTGTTTCCTCTTACTAATTCATTTTTCTAAAGCCTTATCAAATATCTAAACTTCGTAATATTGTTAACTTGTCTACAACCAGAGAGCACAGCAAAAAAACCAATTCACAGAAAAATACTGTAAGGAATTTTCTTCTAGCTTTGTACAAATCCAACAATGTAAGTCCACAAGAGGCAAACCTGCATTTCTAAAAAGGAAACCAAGGTGATGGCTGGGCATGCCTACCCCCGGCCGGAAGGCTAGAGCCATGCCCCCTAACGGATCAGTCAGCATCAGCCCTGTTTGTTTTGCTGCCATATTTTTGTTTAAAAATTGCTAAGTTGAACATGAAAGACCGACTACAAAATTGCTCAGATTTACACAAAACATTCATGGCTAACTTCACGCTTTTCGGTTTTTGAGAACATTTGATGACCAATTACTGCAACTGCTTATTACTGTGCATTTACAAGAAACCACTGTATAATCAAAAACAACAAGCCTGCCCAGGGAGCAGCTGTGGGACTTTTGCAAGTTTTCTGTGTTCCCAAGAAATCGATGCACTGACTTCTCTCCAGAGCCCTTGCTTTGTGCTGACAACGTTAGCATATGAGAAATCAACACTCTGAATAGAAATACAGGCTTAACGAAAGGTAATCTTCTGCAAATATGAATTCATGTGCAAAGAAATGCCCCAAGGGAATAGGAAATGGAAGATGTCAGAGTCTCAACCCTCCCTGCATTAATAAGGGTTCTTCCATGATTGGGAGAACTGGACAGTTGTACGCGGAGCTGGAATGTAAATGACTTCCCCACCTCTGTAACAGGCACACTTAGGTCTAGAAGTCTATGTAAGTCTTACTCAAACGATAAGAGACAGACAATGGCAAAAAAAATAAACAGCGATTGTTCTCTACTGCATCCATAAATAAGCAACCACTACAGCTTAAAAGCAAATCTGAGTTTTCAGGATCAAAATATAAACATTGGGGTTACATCCAATGCAGCCTGCTTAATCCTGTCTTCCAAAGCGCTCGAGCAGCCCATCTCCCATTCTGCACAAGGAGGGGGAACCCCTTTATCAGTGTTTTGTCACAGTGGGCATGGTCACACCCCAACACAAAGCAGGTCCAAGAGGACAAACAGCCCCCCAGGGTGGCCAGAACGGGCCATGTGGCTTTCTTCACCCTGAGCATGACTCAGTCCGGAAGTTCTGCTTTTGAGGTTCCCAGGGAAAAGAAAAGAAAAAAAAAAAACCCATTGGTACAGCAAGGTCCAAAAAGACCATTCTCTGTGTTTAAGCTCAGATTCAACATCCCATTTTCTCACCACATAGAGCTGCCTCCAGATGGTGGACCACTCCCGGAGTGTTGTGGTGACTTCCTGTATGAGTGGGAGGTCGCCCGGGATGACTGTTTCATGTTGCCTAAGAGAAAAGAGGAAAGGACGGCCATGTTCATGGGTTTGTTAAAGTCTGCAAGTTGTACCTTGTAAATTCCAAATCTAGTCCACAGAATTAAATATTTAAGCAAACGGAGAGAAAATACACGAATAAGACTGTGTCCACAGATAGGAACACGCACACCTCTAAGAACGACAGGTAATATTTGTACAGAGCACAAGCGTGTTCACACACTGCCCTACGTGTAAAGGTGTCTACCTCATACGTCACGGTAAAGAGGAAGGAAGCAAATAATACCCCATTAGGAGGCTTCAGAACGTCAAGGTCTGAGAGTACATTCATAATATGTATACCCATCTATCTTATAGATGCCATCAATCATAACCAGTATGTGTGGCATTAAAATGCAGGTTTGGGTTAAGATGATTTTTACATTTCCATCATGCATAAAAAACTCATTATATGATAATACATAAAGCAGTTCTCCCTGGAGAAATATGAATGAGGCGACAGCTCTCTCAAATGTCCGGAGGTACTCTGATATCCCAACACTCAGATTATCCTTTCCCTTTTCCCTGCACTCCAAAAGAGGTTAACCCCTGACTTATTCTAAATTCTTTTTCTTTTTTAAAGATTTTATTTATTTATTTGACAGAGAGAGACACAGCGAGAGAGGGAACACAAGCAGGGGGCGTGGGAGAGGGAGAAGCGGGCTTCCCCGCGGAGCAGGGAGCCCGACGCGGGGCTCGATCCCAGGACCCTGGGACCGTGACCTGAGCCGAAGGCAGATGCTTAACGACTGAGCCACCCAGGCGCCCCAACCCCTGACTTATTCTTAACTTGCTATCCTTTTGTGTGTGTGTTGTTTTTTTTTTTTTTAATCATATCAGCCATTGTTTTCCAGGCCCTATGAGGGAGGACTCAGACTACTTGGGACTGAGGAAGAGACTGAAGGGAGGCTGGTGAAATTGGGCCACCTGGCCCCAGAATTCCCGAACAGACGGACTCCAACCAGCATGGAATGTGCACAGATTCTGAGATAGGTCCCACCCATATATCTCGATCTGGCTGGAGCCTAGATCGGTGGACGGGACTCTTACTTGGGCTCACATTGGGGTTTAGGCCTGCAGTGACCCGCTGATGGTCGGGACTCCCAAAGGAAGGAACAGTGGAGTCCCTGAGAGAAGACCAGTCTCTGTGGACAGCTCTGGCCACATGCACCACCTGGAGCAGCAGGGACCAGATGTCTGAGGCAGGGGTCCGTATGGGACCACACCCCACAAAACTGTTTTTAGGAATTCCCCTCTGATGGGACATCATCAGTGTCTATTACAGAATATGGTTGTTACAGCAGTCCTGCCAAGTCTGTCACCAAGGTTCCCAGTAAGGGTGCTGATGAATATGGGGTTCCTTACACTCTGCAATGCCATCCTTAGAAAGCCTCTTGGCAGGGGGGAGGTTGGGGTGGATTTCTCTTCTCTCAACAACTGGGATGTTTCCATCCTCCAAATCCTGAGTTTCATGCTGAATCCACTGGGCTCTTCCACTGGTTATCAGAAACTCGGAGCTCAACTAGACAACCCTGCCTCCACCACACACACAGGGCCTCACTGCTCATGCCGGGTCCTGGTCTTGGTTCTGCATCCTTCTCACTTTCCCCCTCTTCGTAGGCCTGATCTGTCCCTGGAACGAACACGCCGACTGGCTCTAATGTACCTGGTCTGCCTTTGTTGTATTATGTCTGTAATCACCTCATTACCTGCAAGGGGTCAGGATTGTACAAAGCCAACAGCAGCTTTCGCACAGGGTTGTCGGTAAGACCTACGGAAAGAACATCACGCGGGGCGTGGAAGATTGGGCAGGACACAGCAGACACTCAGCCAGTGGTGGTGGCTCCTTAGTTACCTGGCTCTAGATGATCCAGCTAGACATCAAGGACAGTCAGGGCTGGAGGCCCCGATCCGAGCATCACCCACAGAGAGGAAACAAAACAACATAGGCCATGTCAAACGGCGGGGCAACACAGGGCTAGGAGAAGGGCAGGGAGAGCCCCCTGGGAGTAGTGGGCAGGGGGGAAATAGGCTAGGAAGCAACAGAAATGATACGAAAGCATCAGAATGGACAAGGGGCTCCGGTGAAGGCGACAGCCACCGGCGTCCAACGCTGCAGGAAAGCACCAGAAGAGCAGCCCTGAGAAGACACTGGAAGCCTAGAAACAGGAGGCACTGGTAGCCACGGGAGCATGGGAGAGCAGACAAATGGGAACTGCCTTGGGTATGGCGGAAAAGGCAGAGAATCGGTGACAGCCGGCACACAGCAATGATGTGGGATGTCTAAGAGTGAATGGGGTACAGAAACAGGAAACCCTGCAAGAGAGACGGGGTAATGACCTTGGAGAGCAAGGAGGCAGGTGGGGGTGGGATGACACAGCGACCTGCCCTGGAAAGGAGGAAGGACCACGGGGAGGGGAGTTCGAGGTCCACAATCTCCGGAGGAAAGGAGGAGCGCTGAGACCACCTGTCAAGCCTGAAGGCAGGAGGGTCTTTGCAAGAAGGGAGACAGAAGGCAGCTGGGCATGGGTGGGAGAGCAGGAGGGAGGCAGGACCAGAGGAGCAGCGTGGGGAGCAAACACAGCGAGCCCCAAAGCAACGGCAGAGAAACTGTTTCTTAACTGCTTCTGTCCCTGGTGCGCCAATCACTCGCTAACTCTGGGGCATCTCGCACGAGCCCCAGGAACAGGAGTCAATGTGTCTGTCTGTGTGGGTGTGACTCCACTCACTGAGAATGAAAATAATCTCTAGTTCACTTTACTATTATGCTTCATAATTACATTCTCCATATATTCTTTTGTATACTCACAGTGCTTTTTTTATAAAAATTAATCAGTCTGACTTCTATATTGATTCCGATACAGACAGATGTCAAATACATTCAACGCATACTTCATTCCATTATATCTACAAGAGTCAAAACTTTCCTTTTCTCCTTCCCTTTAAAACTCTGCACACAACACATTTTATCTATATTAAAAAATTCTGTATTACAGGTCATCCCTATCTATGCCTCTAAGTTATTTTCTTCATTTTAATTATGCATCATGCAACTACAGAACCCAAGCTAGTCCTTTTCATATGTTAAAAGTATAGTGCTTGGAAAGGCAATTTTGTAATCAGCCAGAGATGTCATTATGCAGTAATCATATGATTAGTAATTTTATAATTTACATATTTAACGGAGGGTGAAGATGTAGAAGAGACAAAAAAGGAAAACATTTTAATGCTCCTTCTTCCAAGTTCACACCTGGCTATTCATTTGCCATTCCTGCCTAATGGGTTCTCGTTCTATAAAAGTCCTTTTAATAATCTTATACATCAGTTTTATGACCTCTAAGAAACATACATCACAATTAGACAAAATGTAAATTCACACACATCCCAATTTACCAACTGTTGCTTCACCCTAAACTCCATTTGTGTCATAGCCTTCAAAGTTTTCCAGAAAAACGGACTCAGAGCTGGGGGGCTGGAGCCTCGACCCAACGTGATCACTCGCAGACAAGCACAGAGCACTGGGCCAGAGCTACCCAAAACCAGCACTGAGTCAAAGGAGCATGGCTGCAAGCCTAGTGCTGACTTCAGACTTTCCGAAGGTCCAAAGCCATGTTGTCCACACGTCTCCATCCCGAGCCCCCTTTCTCTGCCCAGAACTCCTGTCCCATCACAGTCATTCACACCCACATCCAACCTCCTAACAGGCCCTGCCATATGCATGAGCAGCAAAGCCAAATACAATCACCGTGTTTCTTCATTTAAACGTTAAAACCAGACTCACCCTTTTCCTTCAACTATGGCTTCTTTAAGATGAATATATGAAGCAGGAAATATACCCTATGGGGGTAAGAAAAAAAAAAAAGTAATTTCATTATCAACTTGAAAACCAACCGAAAATCAAAAACCACACTGACAAGGTGAGGAGAGGGATGGCTGGATCGCTGTTAATTCTGCAAGCCTTATGGTAAGTCTCACATACAACACAGCAGGGTGAACAGGAAGTATAAACTCAGCCTGCTTGTATTTCTCGGAGACTACAGACATCTCTGAAGAAAACAGAAGCGATCCGTGTGCAAGGAAAAAAGGGCTCCGGGCTGTCCTGTGTCTTCCCCACAGGACACACCTCGGGTCCGCTGATGCCCTTATTCGGGCAGCTCCGAAGCCTGCAGATGCCTAAAAACAATTTCTGATGATGGTCTCTGACAGTTCCCTCTTTCAAGCGAAGCTAAAATGGCCATGGAAAGTTGATTTCCACCATTTATCATCACGTAAGCATGTAGGACTACTTACCTGACCCACAGATTCTCATCAATCTCCCAACTGAGGGGCCATCTGAGAAAATACAGCAAGTGGGCAAATTTCGCCCAGTCCGCACGACTACCAGACACCAGTTTCCGTTAACACGGCGCTCTGCATTCCCCAAATGCAGCACGCACAGGGGCTTAGCAGCACGGTGCCTGAGGGAGCATTTCTCAAGTGCAAGTTCAGTGTCAGGTGCAGTCCTCGAAGTGCTAGGAGCTTTACCAAGACTTGCTGTCCTGCTTCCTGAGCAAACAAAACAGCCGCCTCTCTGGTGTGAGGCAGAAACGAGCACCTGAAAGCCGGCAATGGGGCAAGAGGTGCTGGGACCCGGGGCTGCACAGCACAGCCGGATAGGGTTTCCCGTGTGAGATGTAGCGCGTGCAGCAGGAATTTACTCAGCAGCCCTGGTGGTTTCCAGGCACCTGTTGTGTGAACAGGAGCTTCTGACCGCGTTTCCCTGGCATCTGGCCCCAAAGGATTTACACAGGAAGACCAGTAACCACAGCTACTAATCATGTTTGGGAGGGGCACGGGCACCACGGACTCAAGCTCCTTCTGCCTAGAGGAAAGCCGGAATTTCACATAAAGAATTATCACAGAGGCGGCAGCAGTCAGATAGAAAGACAGTGGCCGAGCAAGAAATCAGACCAAAGGGCCCCAAGGCTGGGAGTTCCACCAGGTCCCTGTTGTTCAGGACACCCCCAAGCCCCAGGATGCCTCCAGGAGTGCAGGTGATGTTAACGCGTGCACACGGATGGAGGCAGGAAGACAACAAACAAGCCAGCCTCCCCCATGTCCACAGACACCCCAGGATCTCAGTACACCTGCTCCCAGGCACCAAGAAGCCACAGAGGGAGGAGTGGAAAGCAGGGAGGGGACACACGTGGAGGCTTGAAACGAGCAATCGCTCCAGCCGGGGTCGTTCAAAACCAGTCCAGACAAACTACGTCTGTGTACATAGCTAGACAAAGGATGGTTCCAGAACACGTGGGAGTCTGCATGACTGGAGGCCAAGTCCCTTCTCTGCACTGCCTGGAGGGGCCCACTACAAAATCATACTATCTTTAAAGGCTTCACAACTGCCTCGTCTTCCAATGAGGATTTCAGAAGAAAAAACGCAGCTCAAGCGGAGCCCTTCGTAAATGACGGCTACAAAGGACGAACAGCTCCCACCTGTCCAGCAGGGCCCGGCTGCAGGGTTTCTGGGGGAAGTAGGGCAGGCAGGTCCTGTGCTTGAGCCGCTGGACTTTGGAAGCCTTAAGTTACAGGCTCAGGACCACATGAGGAATCCAGCCCAATAAGGAGATCATGAGAGGCAGAGTTCAGAAACAGGAGTAAAACGAACGATCTGTCAAGCATACGTAGATATTAAAGTGTGTGAGTTAATGTGGACAGAGCCTAATCACAGCTTAGAATGCACATTATTTCAAAATCGTAGAATGAAACCGGAGGGCCGTAATTAGGTTTTGTGAAGCTAAGAACAGAAAAGCCACAACAGAACTGTGTCAGGGAGTGTCCACAAGGATCGAGGTGTAATTGCAGGTCTTGGCTTCAGGAGTTCAAAGAACCACACACGCAAACGGCCCTGGAAAGCAGAAACTTTCTTTTGCTGAGCAACTCGGGCAGTTTAAAATAGTTCTACGCAAGAGGAAAACAAGCATGCATGTTGCAAATCTGTTGTCATCAAGGATAATGCAAGACTCAAAATCATAAGCATTAATTTTTTTTTCTGAAGTCATTACACCCGGGTCCTTCTCCCCCACCTCCCGTGCTTAAAGAGGATGTGACATTCTACCAGGAAAGAGGAATGCGCCTTTCGTGACGACAGGTCAGCACTGCGCCCCAGCCCAGCAGCTGCAGAACGGAAGCAGAGCGGTTCTTTCTGTGCACGCATATTGTTCAGAAGAAAACAATGCAGGGCGGCCCACACGCCAGCCCACACATTTGCTAAGTTCAGAGAAAGAGATATACTCATAAAGTTGCAGACACATATGGGATGGGAATGATTTCCTCTCACGGTGTGACGAATGAATGGAAATGCACTGGGGTTCAGAAAAGAGGACTTACCTTCTTGGACTTTTTTCTCAAGGTGTAACCTCTGTACCACCCTAAACAAACACAAAGTTGCAACAGTTAGAAGGAGGGAGACATCACAGGGCCCCTCACAATACCTCCCTGTCCTGGAGAATTCATTGCTTTGCAGAACCAGGGAAATCGGTTTGTCACCAGAATTCAGTAATCCTAAGAGTGTGGAAATATACTAGAAGGTTCCAGAGAGTACATCTCAAATCGGCCTGGCTGGTGACCTTCCCAAACACTTCTCCATCGGCCGCTGGAGGCCCTGAAGCCGTCAATTTGAAGTTCGGCAGCACCATCCCATGAGGAAACATCGTCCTTTTGACCATTCATCACGGAGAGGGCTCCCTGGGTATCCATTTCCCTATCTCTCCCTCCAAGTGACTTGAATAGGGGTCACTGCCAAGTGCACATACCAAATCTCCAGATCATCAAGAACTGCCCCACAACAGAGGGACCTATTGAGCGCTAACTTCCTCCCTCCTCAATCCGGACACGCTGTGCCCTGGAGCAGCTGTGATTTCACACAGTGTGTCTGTGGCAGAGACTCAGCCCCCCACAGGAAGCGCCAGGCCCAGGAACATGGGCCCACCTAGCCCTGGGGGTTGGCCTAGACTCAAGTTCCCGTTGCCTCCAAGAGGGGAGGAAGCTGAAGACAGGCACGCTACAATGTTAGCATGATGTAAGTGGTAAGTGGAAGGGGCCAGTCAACGGCAGAGAAGCTCTGACCACACCCCTGGCCCCTCCCCTAGAGCCGAGGGCAGAAATGATCCCTGCAGATGCCCTGTGGGTACATGGGCCCAGTCACCAGCCTCCGGACAGCCCCATCCCCCACGACGGCCAGCCGTGGACGCTTCTTTACCCCAAAGGCTCTCCAGTCTCCCTGGCCACCCTGCTCAGGGAAAGTGAGTCCAAAGCTCAGAAAAATTCTAACTCTGCCCATAGGACCAAAAGACCGGGTCAGAGAATTACAGGAGTGCTCAGAGAGCGCAGGTTGGGTAAATTCCCAGAGAATAACCAATTAGGCTCTTACACAGTATCAGAAAGTCAAAGCTCAGAAGCGAGCAATGTCTGAGTGAGCTCAGAATATTGTCCCAAGGACAGCACCCTCTTAAACAGCAACCATGTTACCAACCAGAGGTGAGGAGGACGATCACAGACCAGAAAGGGATGGGGTAGAAATGAGCAAAGTCCTCAAGGGGTTATTAACAGATGCTCTCCAAGCATTCAGAACCGGAGATGGACATTCCCAAGATCCTTGCAAAGGATTTGCTAAGACCGAGTGGCGACTGCTTGGCTCTCCTGACAAAGGGGCTCAGCAGATCAACCGGGGACACTGCAGACACAGAGTGTCTCGAGTTCAGTCGAACATGTGGAGGATCATCTCCGGAGAGCCATGCTGTCTACTTCACTGGTTTCTGCGCCTGGCCCAGAATCTGTGCCCATCTAGGGCAGCATTCCCAGGCAGTGAAATGGAGAAAGAGGGGAGGTCTATGCAGTCCCGGCCTACATCTAGAGCCAAATAAAGGCTGTATTTATTCAAGTTTAAGGACAGTCTTCTATGCCGTCATTGTAACCTTTCCACGTCTTCATTATTAACATGCCCTTTCGTTTCTGAAACTGACAAGGGATGAAATGTTCTAGAACATATAAGGAAAGACTGCCCAGTGACAAGTAAAAGACAGAAACCAAGTAAAAAAGAGCCACACTTATCAACAGTGTATCGAAGGAAGCCAAGGATTTACCCACCTATGAAGAGAGTGCTGGAACTTAAAGAAAATTAGACACAATTTTACTGCACAAACTTCAGTGGTAAAAACTGTAATGCTGCAGGCTATGGGCAGCCCTGGGGGGTGGGGAAGAGCGGAGCCTGCAGCAACCGAATGGGAGCGGCCATCCCTACTTATCCAGAGTATCTGGCCCCACAGCCTGCAACCAGTAACCCCCGTCCCGGGAATGCATCCCTGGGAAAGAAGTGCGTGAGCCCATCCATGCATGGCGGGACAGCCACAGAATGCCCATGGCAGCATGATGTAGGGGGGTGCACATGGAGGAGATCTGAGTGCCCAGAACCGAGAAGGCTATCAGTAAAACACGGGGCGTGTGCGCACACAGCAGTGGGAGCCGTGAACTAAACATATACTAAAAATAAACAGGAGTGCATCTTAGAACACAGCACTGAATAAAAAAGAACAAGAGCTACACCCACATTTATATACATGAAAAATACGTGCATGCCAAACAGTACAAGAACTCAGGTGAACAAAAAAATGCACTTCAAACACAGTAAAAGGGTTTTCAGTGGGAAGAGGGAGAAGAAAGGGGTGAGCCATGGGGATAAAAGGTAGTCTTTCTTTTTTTTTTTTAATGTTATAATAACAGATGGAGTTTCTTTTTTAATTGCCTTACTAGGCAAAATGAAAACCTACTGTTTTCCTACCCAAGATTATTTGCATACATTACTCCTTCAACCCATGGAGCCCGCACACTATGTGCCAGAAACTGCACTAGACGGAGCAAAATACAGAATGAAATGAGACCCAATGTTCTGCCCTCCCTGAGCTCACAAATGGGAAGACCCCCTAAGACAAGCAGGGGCCAAACCATGTTGCAGGACAGAGACTTTAGCATGAAGGAGAGAGGACATCCCTGCGTGGGTTTCTTGCAGGGGAGGGAGGGGACAGAAGAGAATGCAGGCCTGGCTGCTCTGAGGGGAACGAGGAAGAGGGAGGGGGGCTAGAAGGAGGAGGGCCCACAGTTAGTAGCACCATCTCCCAGGCAAGGCTCACGAGTGGTCTCCGTGGAGTCAACCAACCTAAGACACAGGCAGGTATGGGCAAGACACAGCCCAGAAACTCAGGGAGCACACAGGCCAGCTCAGGAAAACGGCAACCAAGTCAGCGAGTCCCATACAGTGTCCCTAGCAGAACAGGAGGAACACACACACTGGAGTCCAGGGGCAATGCCACGAGGGGACGGGACCAGGCAGAGCACAGGAGCTGGGAGGCAGGCAGGAAGGAGCTTCTGCCCAGACAGGTGTGCTTAGGCTGAGTCTTCAAGGAGGGCTCACTGTTAGTCAGATGGAGGAGGGAGGAGGCGGGGCAGCGGGTGGAGAGGTGAGCTCACTATGCCCTGAGAAACCATTAGCAGCGAGGCCGGTATATGCATGAGGAGGAAGCTGGAGTTTCTTCCAGGATGGACAGGTGAGGACACCACCAAGGTCCTGGGGTCGGTCCAGTTTACAAGGAGCTGCCTAAAGAAAGATGGATAGGACATTCCCTTATGACAGGAGGATGGTGGCCTGCGTTCTAAGTACGGAACGGCTAGAGAGCCAAAATCCAGATGCGACCAATCATGTCCTGATGGACAGCATCCACATGCATAATGGGCCTTCTGGAGAAAAGAACCAGCAGGTGTCCTGTGTGTAACACGCTGCAGGCACCACGGGGGCAGACTCGGCCCTGAAGCCGGAGGCTCCAGGAGCAACATGACCGTCACTCTCAGGAAGACAGTACTCACAGCCACACGGCCCTTCCACTGGGCCAGGGCCAGGAGGCCAGTCACCGGCGACACGTTACACAGAATGCTTGCCGAGTGGAGGCTGGGCTGGAGGGCTCGCTGACCTCAGAAACGAGAACCTTATCAACGTGACTGCCTTTTCCAATTTGTCACGGGTTAAACTGTGTCCCTCAAAATAGACGTTGAAGTCCTCGCTCTACCTGTGAATGGGACCTTATCTGGAAATAAGGTCTCCACAGACGATCAGGTTAAAATGAGTTCATTACAGTGGGCCATGAACTAAAATGATTGGTGTCCTTAGATAAAGGCGAAGCAGACAGAGACACACACAGGGAGGCCGTCACGTGAAGATGAACACAGAAATCAGGGTGTTGCATCTACAACCTAAACACCACCAAAAACTGTCGGCAAACACCAGAAGCTGGGGAGACACGAGGAACAGCTTCTCCCTCACAGCCCTGCCAGCGCCTTGATCTCGGACTACCAGCCTCCAGAACTGGGAGACAATACGCCTCTGCAGGTTAGGCCGCCCAGTGCGGTCTGTTGTTATAAAGGCCCCAGGAAACTCACACTGTCTGACAAGACCTTCAGTTGACAGATGCTGATGGCACAAAAAGGAAGTAAGGTGCATTTAAAAATTTGAACATACTCAGTTCCAGTGTAGTGGTTTAATCAAAAGAATAATTTCCTAATCTTTGTGCACTGCCTGCCAGCTCCCTGACATCCAGCGTCCAGCGCCCAGGCAGCTGTGTGGAGATGAGCAGGCGGCAGGCCTCGCACATCCTCGGCCACTCGAGAATGACTTCATAAACTGGGATCGCGGCTCACCTCTCCTGTCTGGTTGAATCTGGACACTGCTTAAAAGCAGGGGTGTGCCCTCAATGACCTCTCCACGGTCCTTCCACCCCCACAGTGACCTATACACTGCTTACCCTTTGTTCTCCGCTCCAGGCCTTCATGAGCCTGAGAGAGAGAAATTAACCATAACTTAAAGGTAAATTTGTTCTTTGAACTTCACTATAAAGAGCGATCATCCAGAATTTATATTCTCTGCAGAAAGCCAAGTAATATCCTGAAAAGGATCACACAGAAAAAGAAAATTAAATTTGACCAACAGAAATACATTTTCTTAGAGGAAACGTAGGAGGGGAGAGGAGGAAAGAGAAAAAAAAAAAAATGCCAAACTCAAATATGATCCGTGAAACCAAAATAGAACAAAAGGAAAGAGCAGAAAAACAGTTATTCCATTTTTATTTGATGATTAAAGACACCAAGTTTCCCAAAGTCAAAACTACTTCCCCAAACGCATTTCTCTGATCAGATTCTCATTAAAACCAAAATGATAGCTGTCAAAGAAAAGGAATTTGTTTTGTGTTAAAGGGTCTTTACAGAGACTGGAATATTTTAATGAGAATCTCGAAGACTGACTAGCCCCAAAACGAAATGCTCACTGAAGAAGCTTTTACCAGGATGCTCACTATCCAATTTTTTTTAAGTCAAATGTACAGCAAGGATCCCTAGTTTGTGATAGGATCCCACTATCTGAGGACATTCTTCTTAGGAAGCAAAGAACAAGAGGTGGCAGTCCCCACATACCCAGGCCGACCGGAAATTGCTATCTATTCAGGAATGACATCACTGCCCAGTGTTTACTAACCAGGATTTCAACTTCAACTGAGTGGGGGCAAACAAAGAAGATGTGAGAGCACTTTTCCCTTCAGATCAGTAAAGTGTCTGAGATGAGAGGTTTGATCCTTAACCTCTACTTAATTTCTCCCTGTTTCCTCTCAAACATTGGCAATACATACTGAGAGCAGATAAGGCAATCCAACTGTCAGCTATAAAAACTGAAAACAAGCAGAAGGCACCCATCACAACTACTCATTCACTTAAGGACAGGGTCTGTTTTCGAAGAGTTACATCTGCTTCCAGGCATACGCCACTAAAGCTGATTTTTTTTTTCCAGTAGGAAGATTTTAGGGTCAAAGATGCAAATGGACTGGAATTCTAAGTCCGCATGCGTCCCAAAGGGAACTAAAGGACATGGCCATGGGTGTTGTAATAGGTTCATGCTTCCCGGAGGTGGCTGGGAGGGGCACTGGAGCAAGCTGCAGCCTGCCCAGTGCACGGAGGCTCACATCCGCTTCACTCTTGTGCAAATCTCATAGACGGAGTCTGAGGTCCAGGTTGCCGATCACTGTGGGACAGCTTCAGTCTCCTCTCCCACCCTCACCTCCTACTGGAAGGGTTTAGCTAAACCCACTCTAAAAGCAATTCTTCTATTGAAATGATCCATTTTCATCAGTTCTTTTCATTCATCTGCTATATGGGAGTCACCCCTTCAAGGAGGAAATAAAGCCACCAACGCTAATTACACAATTTTACAACATTTCCAGATCTGAGAAGTCTCAGAAATCAAGCCCATCATGGCTTCCCTTCTGTGCCACAATAACCACAGAGTAAAAGAAAGGGTGGGCCGTTCTAGCGATATCCAAAACACTAAATATAAAAACCAATTGTGAGGGGCGCCCGGGTGGCTCAGTCCATTAAGCAGCTGCCTTCAGCTCAGGTCATGATCTTGAGGTCCTGGGATCAAGTCCCGCATCGGGCTCCCTGCTTGGCAGGGAGTCTGCTTCTCCCTCTGACCCTCCCCCCTCTCATGTGCTCTCTCTCTCTCTCTCATTCTCGCTCTCTCAAATAAATAAATAAAATCTTTAAAAAAAAAAAAAACCCTAATTGTGTGAAAATCCAAGGACACTGAGAAACTACTATCACGGTAGTATTTACTGGATTTCTAATCTATTGGGTTTGCTTTGCTGGCCCACATCCCACATAGCTGTAACAATGTCTGTTCACCCTTAAGAAAATGGGGTCAAAGAAAAAAAGAAATAGTTTTGGTTCCTTTCTTAACAAACCTCAGTGAGAACATAACAAGTCTCACCGTTCACATCAAACACATCAAAACAGTGACTTAACACGAAATATCTTAAATGTATTTTTTTTCCTAGTATTTCAAGCAGTCAGTTATTCACAGTCAAGATTCACATACATTTGCAACAAAGGAACCAATGTGTTCTGTTGTTTTTAATGAAAACAGCTATTTCCACAGAAAACTTTAGAGGTGAAAAATTGGAATTTTTAGTGTTAATTTCATCTTAATCAAGTATTATTTAAACAATGAAGAGCCTCACGACTGCCCTCACTGGAAAGGGCATCCATCACGTAGGAAGATGGATCATATGCACAAGACTCATGATGACACATACTTCTGAAACACTGAGAACGTGTGCTAACTGCCCAAAACAGGAAGAGAAAGACACCAATGGTATACGTACCTTCGTATGTTTCCAAGATGTGCACAGTGTCTCCTATTTGTAAAGAAAGTTCATCCGCTCCCCTGGCATCGTAGTTATAAAATGCTGCGAAGGAGAAAGAGAGGTAAGGAGACATTAGTACAGGTAGAAGTGACTTCGCTGGCTTGTTTCTGCTTGTTTTTAATGGTGAAATACATTCAGTCTCTGCCTGAATCGCCTCTCTGACATCCACAAAGGTAGCCTTTTCTTTCAAGAGACAATTGTAAAGGGTCATCGACTAGAAGAAATCCAGAACACCATGCAATCGTGATTTTTTTTTTAGTGCGGTCCTGAAGAGCACCAGTGACCAACACCGTGTGGGGCTGGCACAGAAGCAGACACACAGACCAAGAAAATAAACCGGAAATAAATCCACGCTCACGTAGTCAACATAGATGCTGTGAAATCTGCCATTTTAACCATCTTTAAGTGTCCAATGAGGGGGGCAACCTTCGCTGCGATCGCCTTCCACAATGTTTTCATCCCCTCCACACAGTTAACTCCGTACCCACAGACCAGTAACCCCCATTCCCTCCCCACAGCCCCTGAAGACCTCTAGTCCACTCTCTGTCCCTATGAACAGGCCTGCTCTACCTGCCTCATAGAAACACATCAAACAGTGCTGCCCTTTTCCTATCTGGTCTCTTTAACATGATGCTTTAAGGCTCATGTGTGCTGTACCATGTATCAGAACTTTATTCCTTGTTATGGCTGAATAAGGTTTGTAACAGGAAGAAAACTGATACTGTTACCATTTTAATTATCACTTCATATACTGTCTTATATTTCCATTAACAGATTTTTTTAATTAAATAATTACTTCCTTACTATGAATCAATTACATGTGGGATGAATTTTTTTTTTAATTTGAAAAGATATATGCACCCCATGTGTATTGCGGCATTTTGTAATAGGCAAGTTATGGGACCAGCCCAAGTGTCTATCAACAGATGAGTGGACAAAAATCTGGTATATATACACAATGGAACACCACCCAACCATAAAAAGGAATGAGATATTGGTGGGCTGAATATTTTTTGGAAACCAACCTGATTTTTAAAATTATCATATAATCAAAAATTAATTAATTAAAAAATAAAATCAAAATAATCGTATAACCAATGCTGATATTAAGCCAAAAAGCTACAGTACAATCAAATGGCAAAAATATGTCCAACATTAAGAAGAAATTCTTACAACTGGCAATACTCAACAAATCTCTAAAATCCCTAATGTGTGTCCTGACATAAAGCAGTTCCTATTCCTTTCAGATAAGCACCCAAAAAGTCATACCATTAAATGCCCCACCGCACTTTTGCTCAAACATGATGAGATAAAGGTAACCATCACAATGGAAAAAGGGCATTAGAAAGCGTTTAAGATACAAAAATTACTCAAGTAGCCCACTCTCTTAAAAAAAAAAAAAAATACTTGAGAAAGAAGAGCAGAGCTGGTGGCATCACATCCTAGATTTCAAACTATACTATGAAGCTATAGTCATCAAAAGAGTATGATGCTGGCACGAAAACAGAGACACAGGTCCATGGAACAGGGCAGAGAGCCCAGAAATAAATCCATGCTTATATGGTCAATTAACCAACAACAAAGGAGGCAAGAATATGCAATGGGAAAAGGACAGTCTCTTCAACAAATGGCACTGGGTTGGAAAACTGGACGGCTACATGTAAAAGAATGAAACTGGACCACTTTCTGGCACCACAGGCAAAAATAAACTCAAAATGGATTAAGGACTGGGGCACCTGGGTGGCTCAGTAGGTTAAGCGTCTGCCTTCAGCTCAGGTCATGATCCCAGGGTCCTGGGATCAAGTCTTGCATCGGGCTTCCCACTCAGCGGGGAGCCTGCTTCTCCCTCTCCCTCTGCCTGTCGCTCCCCCCGCTCGTGCTCTCTCTCTCTTTCTGTCAAAATAAATAAATAAAATCTTTTAAAAAAAAAAAATGGACTAAGGACCTACATGTGAGACTTGAAACCATAAAACTCCTAGAAGAGAGCACAGGTAGTAATTTCTCTAACATCGGCCATAGAAACACATTTCTAGATATGTCCCCTTAGGGCTGAGAAACAAAAGCAAAAATCAACTACTGCGACTGTAGCAAAAAACAAAAACAAACAAACAAAAAAAAACCCACCTTTTGTACAATGAAGGAAATCATCAACAAAACAAAAAGACAAACTACTGAACAGGAGAAGATATTTGCAAATGATACATCTGGTAAGAGGATAATATCCAAAATACACAATAAACTTACACAACTCAACACCAAAAAAACAATCCAAATAAAAAATGGGCAGAGGACCTGAATAGACATTTTTTTCCAAAGAGGACATACAGATGGCCAACAAACACATGAAAAGGTGCCGAACATCACTCATCATCAGGGAAATGTAAATCAGAACCACAATAAAGTATCACCTTACACCAGTCAGAATGGCTAGAATCAGAAAGACAAGACATAACACATGCTGGCGAGGATGCAGAGAAACGGGAACCTCTGTGTACTCTTGGTGGTGATGTAAATTCCATCCACTGTGGAATTTTTTTGTTTTGAGGGTCCTCAAAAACTTGAAAGTATAAACATCATATGATCCAGCAATTCCCCTACTGGGCATTTACCCAAAGAAAATGAAAACACTAATTCAAAAGAATATATGGCCCCCTGTGTTTACAGCATTACAGTGTTATCTACAACAGCCATGACAGGGAAGCAGCCCAAGTGTCCATCGACAGATGAATGAATAAAGATGTGCTCTATATACACAATGGAATATTGCTCATCCATAAAAAAAGAATAAGATCCTGCCATTTGCAACAACATGGATGGACCTAGAGGGCACTATGCTAAATGAAATAAGTCAAAGACAAATACCATAGGATTCCACTTATATGTTGAGCCTAAAAAAAACAAATGAACAAAGAAACAAACTAAAAAACAGACACATAAAGACAAAGAACAAACTCGTGGTTGCCAGAGAGGAGCTGAATGTGGGATGGTTGAAACAGGTACAAGTAAGAGGTACAAACTTCCAGTCACTAAAAAAGAAATAAAGAAAAGGAAAGAAAAATACAGCAATACAGTGATATTCCTCCTTTCCAATGGATCCTACTTAAAAAGATAGCAGACTAAATGTAAAACCCATCTTCAAAATCCTGACCAATTTCTCATCCATCCATCCTGAACACCCTGCCAGACCAGGCTAGTCTTAAGTGGCGCTTCACTATGTCCATCTCTAAAATTCTCCTTGATCATTAGCGTGTGCAAACTCCTCCAGCAAGCATGGTGGGCCCTCCACCACCTGACCACCTCACCTCACCTTCCTCCAACCACACACAATATGGGTCCCAGGAGGACCCCTGTCCCTGTTTCTCCCTGAACAGCAGAAGCCAGCCTGTCCCACACCTGTGTGGAGGACCAACTTACCCTCCCCACCATCAACAGGGTCTTCCCACCAGCTGCACCTCTTCAGAAAGCCAACCCCTTCTCCAAACAATCCCACCATAGCACACCTCCTGCCGTCCACTCCATACCTGAGCTACCGTGGCTGGGAAGGCAGTGTAGGCCTAGGCAACCTCCATGGTTTTCACGTCCATGGTACCTGGGGCCAGACAAAATACGCGGCGTCATGCCTCTACCCCTGAGGATCTGAGGGACCTCCAGCAAATGACCTATCTTTTCCATATTCAGCCTTCCCCATAAAATAAAGCTCTGGATATCTACACCTTGTAGGACCGTGTGTGCATTCTGTGTCTTAAAGACAATAATGCTACTGATGGATTTGGGGATTTGAACACTGGGTGTCCTGCAGTGAACACTCAGTAAATGATAAAGGCTCTTACTGTGGTTGGGAGTATTTTGTTTTTACTGTAATAAAGACTTCTATCCCTACCAGAATCCTTTTTAAAAAGCCAAAGCGAGCAGATTAACACATGATCACAAAAATCCTAAAACATCAAAAACCATATACATGCAGAAAATTCCATTTTTGTAGGTATTTTCCTCTATTTTCAGCAAAATTCATAAAATTTCAATGTCCTCAACTGACATAAATGGTTATTAGTAGTTATTAAGTTTATTTAGCATTTTATGGTGAAGTTGAACAAGAAATAACTGCATTAGGCAAAGGAAGCCCAGAGCATATGTCAGCCTTTCCTGGTTCAGCATTAAGCATATTCCTAAGCCTTTAGGAGCCATAAACGCGTTTCTCACGGTTCTTAACAGCATTCCTGCCAGCATGCCTATCCTGTTAGAGATTTGCAAAAAATAAACACATCAAAAATAACAAACATAAAATAAAATGACAGGTCCACGACAAACACATTCGGGCCCATGTGAATTTGTAAGGCACACAACACAAAAATCTCTAAGTACCTGCCCCCTCCCTCTCCGAAGCGGGCAGACAAAAGTAGTTGTGGAAAAAGGAACTTCAAATTTAGCCATGCAATGAGCCGTAAAGACCCCTGATTTTATAGATGAAGGGGAAAAGGGCCTCAGGGTTCATGCCTGTGGCCCCAAAAGACACGGCAGAGGTAGGACCACCAAAGTGGCTGCCCAGCCCCTGGCCCTTTGTTCTTAGTATCACAGCCTACACAATTCCATATTTAAAAGCAAATTGAAAGACTCAACTGTGTGAGATTATTAGCCAAAGGAATGGGAGGGAGGGAGAAGTGTGATAGATAGAATGATGCCCTCCCCCAAAGACATCCACATCTGAGTCCCCGGAACTCTGTGAGGTGTTTACCTTACGTGGCAAAGGGGGCCCTTGCAGGGGTGTCTAGGGTAAGGATCTCCAATGGGGATGTTAATCCTGGATTATCCAGGTGGGCCCAGTACAATCAGAAGGGTCCATAGGAGGGAGGCAGGAGGGCCCGAGTCAGAAGATTGGACGCAGCGAAGGTTGCAGTGATAAAAGGAAAGAGCCACACGTGGAATGCAGGTGGCCCCAGGCAGCCAAAACAGGCGAGGAAGTGGAATCCTCCCCCCATGCCCCACCCCGGGCGCTCCAGAAGGAACACAGCCCACACCTTGATTTTAGGACTTCTGACCTCCAG